TAGGCCAATAATATTTAAAGATGCAATGTGTAACTTTTCTGGTTTTCTCCTGCTTGTTTCTATAGATACGTCATTGCTGTGCCTGGAATGTTCCGCAGTATGACATTAAACAGATCTACTTTACGTTTATTCAATTACAGGTGGTCTTATAGCTCAAACATACCTTAAAAAACAGGTATTCTGACTTTGAGCAGGGTCGCCTCTCCACAGATCTGACCTGTAACTTGGTCTGGTTTGGTATCCATGAAGATAGAAAGATTTAATGCCATATTATGACACATTCCAGACAAAGCATGCTTTTTTCTCCAGCTAAAATGGATATAGTTGTTACACAGTTAAACATTTGTGAATCAACCTTTTAGTTTTACTTATGAATTTCTTGAAATCTTGTGCCTGGAAAGACAATCATTGACCTGTCACTATTTCTAACTCTTTATTTTATCTGTTTTAAATGAAATGCTTTATCTGTGGGTCGTGTTGTTGCTTGCTTTTGGCCAGGGCTCCCTCGAAAAAGATGTCAAAACACAAAGGCATGTTATCACATTTCAGAATCTAAAAGCAACTAATACCAAAGTGGATTTGCATTTAAGAGCCATATTAAAGAGAAAGTCTGGAATTTTGGACATAGGACGTCATTTCCTAGTGAGCCAGAGTGTTGGAGACGTGTGGAGACACTTTTTAAAAATATTAACTCCAGTCCTTGTATTTGCAGAGTTCGCTGGTGCTAGGCTAGTGCATGTCAATGGCCATAGTTAGCCTGTCACTAAAAACAGTCTTACCCACTCCACAAAATACCTGAAACAAATCTATTATTATGCCAGACTGTCAATGTAAATGTCTGTGTTGATAGAATAATGTTTAAAATAAAACTAACCTTGTATCACATGAATTGTCACATATTGAGGGACTATTTTCTCATATATCAATCTACCGCTGCCAAGCTTTCTGTCAGGAAATATAACTCACTGCTGCTCAGACAGAAATCCTTCAAATGCATGGTTGTTTTTACCTCTAAAATGATTCTATCGACACAGACATCCACATGGACAGTCTGGTGTAATAATAGATTTTCTTCGGGTGTTTTGTGGAGTGGGTAAGACTGTTTTTAGTAGCAGGATAAACTATGGCCATTGACATGCACTAGCCTAGCACCAGCGACCTCTGCAAATACAAGGACTGGAGTTAATATTTTTAAAAAGTGTCTCCACACGTCTCCAACACTCTGGCTCACTAGGAAATGAGGTCCTATGTCCAAAATTCTGGACTGTCCCTTTAAGATATTTTCTGAACTCTGTTATAATGTTTCCTCATCACAAACAGACCTGTAGTTGTGTTTTGTTTCATTCACAAATGTTTAACACACAAACCCTGCAGATTTAGGCTGAGTTCTTCTCTCAAACAGCTTTGTGATGTCATGTGGTAATACAGGACGTGCTCCACTGTGTTTTTTAAGCTCCATACATCTTCACTAGAATCATTTAGTTAACTATAAGTAAAAAGGTAAGTAGCTGCAGGGGTGTAGGGGGCGTGGTACACGGGGGTACGCTGTCCACCCACTTCTCCCAATGTGAGATATAAAAAAATAACAAATATAAAATATAAAATAGCTACAACTTAAATGTCAAACTGGAGCTACTGGCAATGATGAAAACAACCTCCACATTCTCATGATATTTGCAGGACTGTCCTATAGTGACCTGAGACATGAGGGACCAGGACTGCGCCAGGACTAAATCAGGACTGAACCAGGACTAAACCAGGACTAAATCAGGTCTAAACCAGGACAAAACCAGAACTGAGTCAGGACTGAGTGTCAGGACAGACCCGGAGGCGTGCCTGCTTACACTGTCGGGCGGCCGCAGGCAAAAGGATGGGCTCAGAGCTCCACACCTCACGGGGCTCAGCGCAGCAGTTGTGCAATTGCGCTTTGCAGACACCCTACTCCGCAGGCTCTCTCGCTCTCAAGTCCTGGTTTAGTCCTGGTTTAGTCCTGGTTTGGTCCTGGTTTAGTTCTGGTTCAGTCCTGGTTTAGATCTGGTTCAGTCCTGGTTTAGTCCTGGTTTAGACCTGGTTTAGTCCTAGTTCAGTCCTGATTTAGTCCTGGTTTAGTCCTGATTTAGTCCTGGTTTAGTCCTGCTTTAGTCCTGGTTTAGTCCTGGTTTAGTCCTGGTTTAGTCCTGGTTTAGTCCTGGTTTAGTCCTGGTTCAGTCCTGTTTTAAACCTGGTTTAGTCCTGGTTTAGTCCTGGTTTAGTCCTGCTTTAGTCCTGCTTTAGTCCTGGTTTAGTCCTGGTTCATATGTTGTAGCCTGTGCTTTATGTTCTGTCGGTGATTCTGAACGACGTTAATGTGAATAACATGATTCTGCATCATTTTGAGTAGAAAAAACATCAAATATTATTGATTACTGTCTTTTACTGGACTGGCACCTTTATGTTTGTGCTGAAAGTGAGTTTTTTTTTTTTTTTTAATAATCAATCTCTATGACACCTGTGGATATTTCGGCATGTCAGGTTGAGTGTATGTCTTTTGGGGTGGAGGTGAATTGGGGTGGGGGGTATTCACCACATCAATGACATCACAAATTGCGTACCCCGACATAAAAATATCCCCATTACACTGCTGGGTAACTGTCAACTATCGCTGAACTTCAGAGATGTACACAAACTAAAAAAGCACTTAAATTAGTGTGAATGAAACAAAACACAACTCCAGGTCTGTTTTTGATGAGGTCACAAGCGTCTATTTTATCTAATATATGCTCTTTAAATATCTAAGTTACTCAATCAAGCTTCATATTCTGAATTCATGTCATACTACCATACGATTCATGTATTTAAGCAGTGTAAGATAAGCTTCTAGTTTGACTAAATGCGTTAAACCAATGTTAAACCACTGCATTTCCTTATTAGCGATGGAGAGCAGTTTTCAACAGTACATTTGTCAAATACCTGCGCGCGTCTCTTGGATTTCTTTCGGGCTTTGCGCTCAGAATCCATTAGGTCCCAGACAGACGCGTCCTTCTTTAACTGCTCATGGGGCAGGTTGGGATCACTCTGGCGGTGTGGATAAAGCATACTTTGATCACTCTGCTTCGCACTCATCCGCCGGCGTTTAAGGGACAATTTTAACGTAGGTGCGTGGTTCGGTAATGGGCTATTAATGATCCGAATGTTTACACTTCCATGCCCAGGGAAGTGAAGCAAAGAATGAAATAGCTTTGCATTTAAGTTTAGACATGACTGATGAGATCGGGAAGAGGTTTAATGACCACTCCAGGACAAAATGGGCATGCTTTAAAAGTTGGAAATGAAATAATGCAATAAACTCCGGGAGACGTCAAGCACAATATGCACGCGAATGGAATAAATATGATGTTATAAACGTGAGGTATGGGGTTATAGACCAGTGAGCGTGACCGATGTGAGGTTTGAATCATCACAACAACATGACATCCAATGATACAGCGGCTGGCTTTACTGTACCTGCTCTGCACGCTTCGCACGCGCACGAGAAGTGATAGATCGTTTCTGAAGGAGGTGGAAATGTGGAAGGGAGAATAGCATTTCAGATAGCGTTTTAAAGGCGCACCGTGGAACTTTTCTGGGGGAGGTTCTGCCACCAGCTGCTGCTGTTGTTCCACACTGTATGGCAATAAATTTAGCTATCTCCATGGAGACAAGGGCGAGTTACATGTCAGATTTATAGAAAGTTCGACTTGTTTTCAGTGTATTTTTGAGTAGTAAAAAGAAACACAATGAAATAAATGTGATAGAATATGTGGAATTTAATACTGTGGAACATTTTAGTCAATGCAATAAAATCGCCGTGGAGACGTGCAGGTGGTGGACCCCTTTCCAGAAAAGTTACATAGTGCTACTTTAGGTACATGGAGGAAATTATAAGAAAGAGTAGAGAGAGGTGATATGGCAAGACAAAAAAGGGTAAGAAGATTTAAAGATATAAATACAAATATACAGGGTTCCCACTCTTTTTCACTCACAACATATCAAAACTTTTCCATAACTTTTTCTAGCCTGATTCAACAGCCGGTTTCACTTCACTGCTATTTGGTCGTGATGTTTGTAATGTGCCAAATCCCGTAGGAAGAAGGGCAATGACGTCTTTTCTCTTGATAAAATTCACTAAACATTGTCTTTGTTCCGGCTTTAAATCCTCGATCTTGGGAATAGTATGGCTTCGTCTACATCCATCTTGACCTCCTTGTTTACTGTTGTGCTGTACCACAAAAAGGGCCCCAGTCATGACTTCACAGCTCTTTGTTGATTAGCCAGTGCGTGGTCTACAACTTCCACGAATATTGCAAACTGTCTAGTGTATTCTGATTCCTGACCTAGTTGCTGGAGAAAAATGAAATTGAGCAGAGGCACTAGGTGACTTTTTCATGACCTAAAGTGACTTTTCCATGACTTTACGGCACCTACATGTGTAGAACTGATCAGAGTTTTAGGGCTACATATGAAATATTAACCCTTTCCACTCATCTTATGGTTTGGTATTATAGTTTTTTTGACATTCAACATCCTGTCAGTGCATTTATTGTTGTCTCTTTTAAACAAAAGGCACAGACATTTGGAAATAATCATAATAGCCTCATGATAATTTGCCTAATGATAACACTGTAGTTGCGTGAAAGAGATACTAAAATTACAAGACTTTTCCAAAACATTCATTGAATACTAACATTCCATGACTTTTCAGGCCTGGAAAATGACATTTTCAATTTCCACGACTGTGGGAACCCTGAATATAAAGAAAAAAAAAAACCTGCTGAAATGAAAACATTACAGCAAATGCTTTTAAACAAGATGCCCTCCCAGATGCATCCCTTTACATTTCCTGGTGTATAAGAGTTGGTTCCCATACCGCTAATGATCAAATCTATTTATTCATTTTCATGGCTTTCCCATTGTTTACAGTTACCATTTTGAAGACTTTTGACAACTCAAAAGAACTTTACTTGCCCCAGGATTCACATTACCTTGTCTCCTTGGAAGGCTCCAGGCAGCTGCCAGTAGTGAGGCTCCTGTCCCACATAGTCGAAGTTACTGTATGAGAGCTGAGTCCCGGCTGTGGAGATCTCCACAGTGAAGCCGGTGGAGATACGAGTGGTGCGCTGACGATTCACCAGAGCGTAATCCTGGAAGTTTCCTTGAGTGAAACGTGAGGTGACCTGTAGGACAAAGAAAGATATAATGTAGGCATACAGTATTACAATTTGTTTTTCAACCCTTTCAAACACTAATTGATGTTACCAGACACGCAACACTGTAATGTTACAATATCAAAATTTTACTACCATGTACAACAAAACTGAACTGTAATGGGTCTGTCATGGGTCTAAATTCCATTGTTTTGCGGCAGTGGCCTGGTAAAATGCTGTAGGAACTTGGCCTGGTTTGTTCCCGGGTAGGCAGGTACTAAAAAGGGCCAGTAAAATGTCCGTGTGACTTACCACATCCCTGTAGTAGGTGGAGCTGTAGCACTGCTGAGTGATGCCCATGCAGAAACAGGACAGGCAGCCGTCTTTGTTCTGGGGGCTGAGGTGGAAGGTTCCCTGTTTACAGCTGGAGCAGGATGGGCCTTCAACGTTCATCTGCAACACAAAATACAGCAATATATCAACAAGATTATTTACTATACAGCTCGTGGTGGTTTCATACAGTATGGAGCTGGGTTTTTGGATTGATGTATGTACTGATATAACAGAAACTGTTTAAATTAGTGTTTCTCAAACTGTGGTGTGTATCCCACTGATGATACACAGGACTCTTTGCTGTTTGAATATTTGTTTTATTTAGAGACTTAGAGGTTAACCATTACCGTATTTTTTGGACTATAAGTCACACTTTTTTCATGGTTTGGATGTTTCTTCCGACTTATACTCCATTGCGACTTATATATTAAAATTTTCAGACTGAGCAGTGAGAGGGCACTTTAGTCTTGTGTATCGGTTTTCTGCGCATGTCTCCTGCAGAAAAAGCCACTGTCCTGCTGCACATAGTGAAATATGCAGCAGAAAATGGTAATCGAGCAGTAGAAAGAAAATTTGGCGTAAGCGAGAAACTTGTGAGGGACTGGCAGAAAACGGGAATGGAGAACACAGCTTCACAGTAACCAGAAGGGTGTGCTGTGCAACTTTCCTGGAAGTCACTGGATGACAAAGCCTGGACTTCAGTGACAACCGAAGTTGCGTGGAGTTGCTCAGAAGTGACACCGAGGATGAAGAATTCAATTGGATTCACTGGATTAAGTGGATTTAGTGATTGGAAGTGAGATCAAGAGTTTGGTAAACTTATGTTCTGTTGTTTATGCTATAGTTATCTGAAGGATTGTTAATATGTTATTTTAACATATTAACACCTATTCAGCCTATAACTTGCCTTTCCGTTGCGGCTTTATTATGTTTTTTTTTTCTTCATTACGCATTTTTTGGCTGGTGCGACTTATACTCCGGAGCGACTTATAGTCTGAAAAATACAGCATTTAGTATGTACGGTATTTATTATTTAGTCACAGTTTAGGACCTGTTTTAGTGTCATTTGAAAGCATATTTAGTAAGGGTGTAACAATATCGTCACGGTATGAATCTCACGGTACGATATTTATTGTGATATCGTGGGAAAGCTCATGAATTGGTTGGGAGGCTCACGATTAGGGATGTAACAATATCCTAATCTCTCTGTACGATATTTTCACGATATACATCTCATGGTACGATATTTAATGCGATATTTTGTGGAGGCTAAACAGCTAAAACTGTTAATATGTGACTTTTTCCTCTTAAAATGCCTTGACACGACTTAATCCAAAGAACTTTAGAACAAACATTATGAAATTGTGTATATCTGTTAAAGGGCTGGAGCTCTGGAACAACTGTACAGAAAACCTCAAATTGTGCACCAGTCTCTTTCACTTTACAAAGGAGTTTAAATGTTTAACTCTGGACAGATACATGAATTATGATATTTCGTTTGTGCTGTAGTACTTTGTTATACTGTTTCTGATTTGTTTGTTTCCTCTTGCTGTATTTATGAAGATGAACTGGTGTCAAGATGACGCTGTGATAAAGGAATAAAGGGTAAATGCATAATAAGCTTAAGCTTCAGCCTACACCTTTTCAGTCTGTGTATGTTAAATATGACTGTGAATATGTCTGTGAATTAATGTCAAAATATACCTGTGATCGAAATAAATAATCAATCAAAACTAAGACTTAAAAGTGTTAGAACTGTTATTTCTTCTTGTAGTCTGCACTGAAATGGAGCAAAGGATCATGGTCTCTGTAGTTCCCTCTGTCTTTTTTTTTTAGCTATTGCTGCACCATAACTCTTCATTTAAGCAAAGAGATTTGTGATTCGATATATCGTGATGGTCCACGATATTATTATGAGAACTTTGACAATACGATATCACGATATTTCTGTTATTGTTACATCCTTAATATTTAGTCCAGGTTTAGATCTGGTGGTACGCAGAAGGCAAAATATTATCTAAGGTGGTGTTTGATGTGAAAAGAGTTGTGTAAATTTAAGAATGAATTTGTGTACATTTTTGATTTATTGAGTATGTTTGTGTAAATACCCTACTTTCAGTTATTTAAATTCAAAAATAGAACTTGTGTTCACCTTGCAGCGGCACACATTACCAACGCAGCCGTCACTTCCACCTTGGTCACAGTTGTAGCAGTTACCTGGAAATAAAAAAAAAGTAAAATGAAAATAACATAATTTATACAATATTATAAAGTGTATCGTAAAGAAGTAGAGTCACGTTTGTACCATTGAGCGTATTGTCCCGAGTGCACCTCTGTCCTAGCTGTGGGTTTCCATAGTATCCTGGGGCACATCTGAAAAGAACAGATAGCCATTCATGAGTAAATATTTCCAACATGGTGGATACAGGATTCAGCACACAAAACAATGAAACAGGAAGTCTGCTCCAGGTGATGTGTCGGATTTTTCTCTTCGTTGTAGTGCCATTTTGACCCACGGTTTCCTTCCAAGAACTTAGTCATTCAAACAAGAGACATCCAGCTCGGCGAAAGCACTGATATGCAAATGACTCATATGACCCAAAGACCCGTGATGGAGAAGCCCACAGGAAGAAAGATGGAAGGAGACCAAACCATCGCCATGTTTTTCTATTGATTCATACACTGCAAAAAATGAAAGATTAGAAGAGCTGAAAGATCTTGAAGTAAGGATATTAATGTTAGTATCAGTAGGTTTTACTTGGTGGTATTATTTACTTGATAAACCTGTTTTTACCTAAGCTTTTCAAGATGTTTTTGGCTTGTTTTGGTTCATTAAAGGTGCATTGTGTAACTTTTTTTGGTGGAGGGCCCGTCAAATGCTTTTCTCTGTGGAGATGTTCTTACTTTATCTGTAATGTTTCACAGTATGGCATTAAAAGTTTCTACCCCCGCTTCTCCTCTTTCTCTTCCTCTCTCTCTTTACCTTTCTGATTTTATTATTTAATTAGTATTGGCGTCTAGTTATTTTTTTTTGCCTTTATTTAATTTTTGATAATATCTGGATTTGAAAAATAAAAATGGGAAAAAATGTGATTTGAGTATACTGTGATTCCTTGATTAAAAAAATAAATAAAATAAAATAAAAAGTTTCTATCATCATGAAGACCAAACCTGACAAAGTTACAGGTCAGATCTGTGGAGAGGCAACCCTGCTCACAGTCAGAATCTTTGCTTTTCTAGGTATTTTTGAGCCATGAAACCACCTGTAATTGAATAAATTTAAGGTAGAACTGATTAATGTCATACTGTGGAACATTCCAGGCAGAGCAGTGACACCCCCAACCAAAAAGTTACTTAGTGCACTTTTAAGGGGCTCATTTACACTTTCACATGCATTACATCGAAACTACGACTAGACCAGGACCAAATCTAGTCTACACCAGAACCAAACCAAATATAGACATCAGGACTAAACTGGACATAAACCAAATGTTATCAGAACTTAAAGCTACCATCTGTACCGTATTTTTCGGACTATAAGGCGCACTTAAAATTCTTTAATTTTCTCAAAAATCAACAATGCGCCTTATAATCTGGTGTGTCCTTATGTATGTATGTATGTCTGGTTGTGCTTACTGATCTTGAACGGATTTTATGTGGTACACGGCGCTCAAAAATCTGTCAGAGTGGTTTAGTATAACTTTGGTAAACTTAAAGCCACACCGCTTGATGGATTGTTGGAGCATTATGGCTCCTAGAGTCAGGAGCCTCGGGGAGTAAAGGTTGAAGTATAGTTTTGTGTCAACTCAACGCACACTGCCGTTGTCGCCTTGTCGCAAAAAGAACACTCATATTTTACTGAGTCGCGTCCTTTAGTCTGACAGAAGCTGAACGCATCAGGGCACAAGGAGCGAACTGTTTTTTCAGCGCTTGTAGTTTATGCAAATTAGTCACGTGGTTTTAAGTTTTGTTTCTGTAAAAAGTAAACAAATGTGCGCAAAACTGCATTAAAAACATTATTACTCAGTGTATATTTGAGTCGTCCTTGTAGGAAATAAAAAAACAAACTTAAATGATCCACCCACGTTCACATTCATAATCCACATTCACCAAGACAAGGAGGCAACGCCGAGCGAATTACATCACGATCTGTCGATGGATCGTGGACGCCTGGACTAAGGATCAGTCTCAAGTGTCATCCGTTTGTTTTCTAGTGCACCTTACGTATGAAAATAGACGAGAGAATTCAACATTACTGATATTGCGCCTTATAATCCAGTGCTCATTATAGTCCGGAAAATACAGTAATTTGTCTCTCCAACCTGCTTCGCATGCTATCTGTATTACTCCTTTCTGATAATGCGTCCAATTTGGCCATCTACTGGTGAAAACAAACCAAAAAATCCAACAAACTTACAAATGGTAGCTTTAAAGTCATTTGCCATTGCCATAAGTAAACTGCACTTACCCTATATATATGTATTTAATAATTTCAGGCTAAAATTTCTTCAAAACAGGAAATATCATGGAACAAGTTGATGAAGAATAACATTTTTGGCAGTGTATGGGATGGTTCTAAGACGCGAAAACAAAATAAACTACACAAAAAGTCAGAAACACATTGAACGCCTTTAAACCCAAGCAAGCACAGGAGCTGCCACCGAAGCACAGGCAGACCATAAAACCAACCTCCGAGGGTCTTACCTCACCTGTTACGGGGTCCTGGAGGTCTGAGAGGGCTTGTTGCTATGACAACGCTAATTCTAAACGCTAAATTCCAAACGCTAAATACATACATACACACATACTATACAAAAACGAGCAGATATTGTAGCATAGAAATAACTTCATACATCACAAACAATAAAAATACATAAATTAAAATATGTAGTGGGAAAAGCAAGTTCAAATACAGAAAAAAAATCTGAGAAAGCGAGAACATTGGGATCTGAGAATGTATATTATGAATCATCTTTCAGCTATCTTATCTTAATCTTAATACCAGAGGATATATACACAGTTACATAACAACATGGTGATCATTTATCTAACTAAAGCGTATGGGGCAATATACAGATATAAAAATTATTAAAAACAAACATTAATGCCCACAGATATATTTTATAGAAAAAGGTTAATACTTGCAACACTTGAGGTAGTTGTAAAAAACAGAAAAGCCCTACGTACAAATAGGTCACAAATGAGAGAAATGTTGTAGAGAAATTATTGCAATGTAGTGCCCAAAGTTATTCTGCATTATTAAAGCTATTTTTTATTTTTAAACTCACTGTATTTTAACTTTTGTGTGTATTAATATGTAAAACAAGAACGTATTTGCTTGTGCACTGTGGAGCTGATGACCTGTGCAGTGACTTTGGACTTTAAATCACCATGTTACTTTTTATTGTTTTGAAAATGTTATATTCTCCAAAATCGCCAAAATTGCTGAAAATGTACATGTTTTATATTTTGACAGATGATTTTGATGCCTTTCCATTCTCGCTGCTCTCCACACTAAGTCACTCCCCCTTCAGAGCGCTATCACAACACAATCAGCGTGCATCTCGCTAAAGAAACTACCGCACATCGTATCAGGTTTGTCGGGTTGTTGTGTACGGTTTTGTGTCACACTTTTGTATATTTATGGAGAATTGTCGAATGGCAGCATGGGTGACATAAGGAGAGTTTGAATAGGGCCTGGGAGAGATCACTAAATTACTGAAACAAGGTCTGGGTATTATTAAGAAGTTGCTGATAAGATACATACCTCGATACAGTGCACTTTGGATTCGATACAATATATTTAAAATTGGTTCGACAGTGGTGGAGTTAAAAATTTGGGGGCCCTAGGTGAACTTGACTTTGGGGCCATCACTATAATGCAGTTTTGTTGAGGTTTTTAATATGTATTTTTTAAATATTTACTGTCTATTTTTCTCCATTGTTCTTGAGACAATGGACAAAGTGAAGAATCCCTCAGTTGTCCAGGTAGAATCCATGTCGAGGAGAAAATTCAGTTTGTTGACTAGACAAAAGTTAGTTTGGTTGAAGACGTTTCGCAGCTCATCCAAGCTGCTTCTTTAGTTCTGACAATCACATATTATTTTGATGGTGTTTGTTTGTTTGTTTGTTTAAAAGTAAACTACTGTCATATTGAGAGAAAATCACATTGCTCTGAGGCCTCGGCCATTAGTGGCACTGAGGGAAATTGTTTGGGGGCCCCTCCAGGGTCCCAGGCCCTATGCAGCTGCCTACTTTTACCTAAAGGTAGTGCCACCTCTGTGATTCGATATGGTTCAACAAAAAATAAAGGCTAAATCATGACTATGATACTAAAGTTTTTGTTAAACCACTTCTTGTGCAAAGTTCATCTGAAACACAAACATTTTAATCAACAAAACAGTGAAAATGTCAAATGTGTCGCATAAACAAATTTCTTTCTTTCCAAAACTGTAGCGCTGTAACAAAATAATTTCGTAAAATATACCAAAAAATACTCTTGGCGATATATCGATACAGCATCCCATGATATCAATACTGTATCATTACATTAAACAATATAATATATTGATATTTTGACATTTTTGCGACATCTAAAACCTTTTCAGACAGATTTTTTGATGAAGGAACAACGTTATAACATGGTTGAAAGCTTTTTAAATCTATTTTAATAACCCTTCTTTAATTAAAGTGTAAATATGTGTAAATAGAATCAAAAATATAAACCTTTTGTATGACATCATTCCTCTGACAATGGCATTCTTTCATTGGTGACCTATTTAAACAAACAATGTACTACTGCTATCATTTCTCTTCATGGTTCTGTGCAATAAGAATAACTGACATAATTTATGCGTTTTAAAAGTCATTAATGTCACAACAAATAACACAACAGCAGAGTAAACTGTTTTAAATTCAGAACCTTCATAAAACAAATGTGTTAGCAGTGGGTGGTATAAATAATAGACTACATCGCAAAACAAGGAACAGCAGCATTAGTTAAAATGATTAGATTTTCCGAACTAACTAATTTAGACTTGTTCCATTTGTGGATATAGATTTGATTTCTTTTTAATGCAGTGTGGTTTCAATAAACTTTTTAAAATTCCATCTCCAATTTATTTATCTCCATGGACAATGTTCCTAAGTATGCTTTTAACTTTCTTTTGCATGCAGGTGACGTGCCAGCTCCAGAATGTTACACAGTGTTGCTTTAGTAAGATTATTATTATTACTAAGTTTCTTACTGTGCCATCTGATAATTTAGGTCAATAATTTGAAAATGATCTGAAGCTACAAGTTAAATAAATATAAAACATTCCAAACATTTCTTCTAATTTTAGCTAATGTTGATACTCCCTTTTTGCAGTGAACAAATACTACAAAAATATGTTTATACTATTGCTAGTCGTCCGGGATGATTTTTATCGGAATGGCCAGTCTTCCCAAAACTACATGCAGAGAAGCATCCTGGCTTGTTTTCTGTTTTGAACTCCTCTGATCTCCATTGAGCAGTCGCAGCAGATCAAAAACTCCAGGGTTTGGACTTTCTTTGCGCGGAGACATCGGAGGTTTGGGAGCCGGGTTCGATTTTCTCTTCACCACCCCGCTTTGCCTCTTTTTTACCGTGGTAGTTTTCATTTTCGGGGGAGGAGTGGTCCTTTTCGGCCTACTCGCGCTCGACCTTTTCTTTGAAGCTGTTGATTTTGAGGTTGAATCTACATCGGTCTCTTCTGACACCAGCTTACGTGCCACTTTTGCGTTTTGCGGATTAACCTTTTTGTTTTGCTTCGAGTTGTTCTGTAAAGTCCGCTGTTGCTTACTCTGCTTTGCATCAGGCGCATCTGATCTAACAGCCTTTTTACTATCCCCATTGTCTTTTACAAGGAGCCTGGAATCTTTTTTATTGTCCATTTTATTGGGCTGTTTACGTGGTCTTGAAGAGTGAGAGGGTGGGTCAAGCTGAAATTTTGTAACTTCTTTCTTCTCTTGCCTCTGGTTTGAACGCACAGGTTTAGCAACTTTAGCTGGCAATGCAGGTTTTTGGACATTTACTTTCTTTGATACGGGCTTAATTTTCGTTCTAGCTGTCACAGTAGTAGTTTTAGTAGTTGTCGCAGCAGTCGTAGTAGTAGTAACTGAAGTAGTCTTTACTTTTGACTTGGTCGGAACAGTACTTTTTGGTTGCTTCATAGATTTAGGCTTAGAAGTTGTTGATTTTCCTTTCTTTAACTTATCACTATTTGAATTGCTTTTATTTTTAGCAGTATTGACACTAGGAGTTTGAGAAGTTACTAACAGATCGGTTTTTGGTGCTTGCGTTGTTACGTAAAAAGGCAACGCGACCGTCGTAGTTGCGAGCGCGGGTATCTTTTTCTCAGTGGCCGATCTCGAAATATGTCTACGCTTCATCCTGTTCATTTCTTGCGCCAAAGCCGTGAATCCGTCAATCAAAATTTCCAGTCTCCCTTCCAGTTTTCCCAAGCGGTCCTCCATGTTGGTGTAACTTTGCTCCAACTCCGCGACCTTCTTAGACTTTTCGCCAGTCGAATGCAGGGAGATCAGCTGCTTCATTTGCGCGTTGAGGTAACTTTGCTGTTTTTGTAGCGTCCGGATACCTTCTTTCATGTCGAGTGTGTTGCTTTCTAACATGCTGAGACGCTGGTTGAAGGTGCTGAGGTGAAGCCGGAGTAAATGTTGGAAGCTGGAGTGTCTGATTTCGGGACTCGGGGTGAAACGTGGAGGTAGCCTGGGAGCGTTTTTGCTGGGGACGATCGCCGTAGTTTTGATCGAAGGTTGAGTAGTCCGACGCGACGTGGTGACCCTTTTCGGAGACCGCGTCGTTCTAATGTACGTGACGAAATCCTCATCTTCGTCGTCGTCCTCGTCCCCGCTGCCGTAGAGGAGTATTTCTTTCTCCAAGCTAAAATTGAACACCGCTTCGGCTCCGCAGGCAAAAGGTAAGAAATCCTCCGTCCTAACTGGATCTCCACACTCGTCTGCAGCTCTCTCTTCTCTTCAAGTCAAAATCAAAGCAAAATCAGGCAAGTTTTAGCCAGAATATGACCAGTTATATTAATTGTATTGTACCCAAGTCACCACATCATCTTTGCCCGACGAGTAGCAAAGATTGGCTGAACCTGATGCCTCATAAATGTCTACATTTATGTCAGAGATCGGGAAGAAGTCTCATATGGTCTGTGCAAAGTTTTGGCTGCCAACAAGACGCAAAGCTGAAGCAAAAAGCAAAGCAGCAAAGAAAAAAACAGCAAGAAAAGAGGAGAAAAGTACAGAACAAAGAACAAAGAACCACTCACAACATATACTTAATACGTGACCCATTTCTTTCAGTTCAGACAACATACAATACCACTTCTGGTTGCACATTACTTTACAGTTCACTAATAGCAATGGTAATTGGTATGGAATTGTATGGTAATTAAAAATGTAAGTATGGTCATTATATTGAATCATAGAAAGTGGACACTGGACCTGGATCTGTCATTCTACTTCATATTAAAGATGCACTATCTAATGTTTCTGGTGGAGGGTTTGTCATTTCCTTCACTCCATGGAGATGCTATTGCTTTGTCTGGAATGTTCCACTGTATTGCATTAAACCTAGCTATCTCCCTTAAAACAAGCATTTTGCGCAAACTACAGTTAAGTTCTTTGGAGAACCTGGCCTGCTCAATGAGAATTAATGTTCAAAGATTTTTCACAATTAAGACATCTGTAACTGAATAAATGGAACATAAATAAACTGAACTTAAACTTATTAAACTCCAATAACATCCCCATGACAAGACCAGAACACCAGAAAAAATACATAGTGCACAAGGTCAGAGTCCTGCTCCGGGTCGGGTATCTGGCGGGTACCCACAAACAGTTGCTGAAACAGGCAGGTTTTAATGTTCTGGAATTTTATGCAGGCGCGTAGTGATTACACACGGGCGGGTCAGGTGAATTAAATGAACGACGAACGGGAGAAAAATACATGACTTGCATCCAGGACATTTATTGCCCTGGAAACAAGTGACATTTCCTGTCTTTTCCTGGAACGATGGACCAGGCTGAGAGAGACTTCAGTGTATTTATTACATAAAACAAATCAGTGGAGACTTGCCGGCTGCGCTCCTGATTTAGTCCTGGTTTAGTCCTGGTTTAGACCTGGTTTAGTCCTGGTTTAGACCTGGTTTAGTCCTGGTTTAGACCTGGTTTAGTCCTGTTCAGTCCTGGTTCAGTCCTGGTTTAGACCTGTTTCAGTCCTGGTTTAGTCCTAGTTTAGACCTGGTTTAGATCTGGTTAAGTCCGGGTTAAATCCTTATTTAGTCCTGGTTCTGTCCTGATGTAGTCCTGCTGTAGTCCTCGTGTAGTCCTGGCGGTCGAGTCTGTGGTTTTGGCGTGTATATATTTACAATCCGCTAATGACACGATGTAGGTTCAGTCCTGTTTCAGTCCTGGTTTAGTCCTGGTTTAGTCTTGGCCTATTGGGCTGTCATACTAATGGGCTGACCCTGATTTATCACAGGCACGGGCGGGTAACGGGTGCAGACTTAACTTTGATATAATCATGGATTAACGGGCGGGTGTGGTGCTGTACTGCACGTGCACGGGCAGGTGTGGACGGGTGTGGGCGGGTGCGGGTCTCCAAAAATGGACCCGTGCAGGACTCTGATTCAGGTTTAAAGTGATTTAATTCTAGTCTATTCCTAAAAATTATCAGAAAACATTTGTATTTCCATGGAAACACGATTGCATATTATCCCAGGAATGATGCAATTTCTGTCTTTTACCATGCTATTACTGTTCTATAAAGTCAAGTGTTGTATAGAAGAACCTTTAAGGCACTTATCTACAATAGAAACATCCATGAGTGAACATACCAGTGCAATTTCTACCAAACTTCAGTTCTAAACAATGCCCCCATTTGATTGAATGACACCATAAAATCTCGTTTGGAAATCCAGAAAAAAACGACATGCTTGCATCCCTCTCCTCTGAACAGTCGATGCTATAATGCTAAAATGCCAGCCACAGCTCTCTTCAGCTCCCGGCCGGGCAACCAAATACCCCCAAACACGGTCCAAAACATCCCGCGCCCGGATAAGAGACGGAGTAAAAATAAAACACGAGGGGATGGGCCTACCTCTCGCAGCGGCGCCCAGAGTAACCAGGAGGACAGCTGTCACAGGTGGGCTGGCCATCTGAGTCCAAGTAGCAGGTGGACGAGAATCTGTGAATACAATTTGATTAGAAAAACGACTGGAGTGTACAATTATCAGCAGCAAACACTTTTGGATGCATTATTTATTATATTGTCAACAGTGTGATTGTCGTTTTGAAGTTATGCAAAATCTGGATATCTGTGTGAATACAAATTTATTATTATAAGAACTACGGGTGAGTAACATAATCTGGAAACACCACTGAATGTATTCTTTTGTATTATTTATTACTTTTTTATTGGAGATAGGTGGATCATCAAAATATTGTTAACATAGTTGTTGTTTTTTTGAAGTTATGCAAACTTTGGGTATCTCTGTGAATACAATTTTATTATTATAAGTTCTACTGGTGTGTAAAATGATCAACAAACAGTACTGAATTTATTATTTATTATTAGAGATGGGCAGATTATCAAAATATTGTCAACATTGTGATTGTTTTGAAGTTATCCAAAATGTTGATATCTCTGTGAATACTATTTTATAGTAGTAGTAGTAGTACTAGTAGTAGTAGTAGTAGTAGTATAATTAAAAACTGTAAATAAAACAAAATCTAAACCCATTACACTGAATCTTCTGAATTCAAGCCACATGTTTTATTGACAAAGTTATTTCTGTGTTAAAAAGTCTGGTTCATGTTCAAAAAATCAGTAATGAAAAACATTTTATTTGTTTTTGAAAGAAAAAAATATGGAGAGAAAAAAGAGAGAGATCAATATGAGGAAAATAATCGTGGTTAATGAATTGGCAGTAGAAAATAATCTTTGTTATGAACTTCCAGATAGTATTTTCAATAGTTCTGAGACTTTTATGATATTTTACAGCGCTTTTATATTTTTTGATGCTTAAATTTCAACTTAAACATTTAAAGACATGTTTTAACACATTTCTATTGGAGGGTCCTATCTTTTAGCCAGGCTGACACCACCTAGTGCCTCCGATCAATTTCATTTCTGCACTAGACAGTTCGCAAAAAACCCAGAAGTGCAAGTTTGGGCACCAGTCAATCAGCGAAGAGCCATATATTCTGTGTTGTCAATGATTCTCGAGATCGAGGATTTAAAGGCGGAACAATGAGAATGTTTGGTGAATTTTATCAAGGGGAAAGACGTTACTGTCCTTCTTCCTACAGGATTTGGGAAAAGCTTAATATACCAGTTAGTCCTGTTAGTGGTGCATTACATACGTGATGACCAAATAGCAGCGATTGGTTAAATGATAAAAAATACCCGCCTACTGAATGAATTAATAGTGAATGAATTCTAACACTGTGAGGTCAGACGGTTTTTATGAAGTGAAACCAGTGAATCAGTCTACCTATCATTATCCATATACTCTAAAACTGTAAGGAAAATGACTTCACAAACTGTTGAATTATGTTTCATGTTCAAACTCTGCTTATCTAAAAAGAAAATGTGGCAGTTGTTGTGTGTTGTTGTGTGAGACCGACACCTTATTTGTGGAAGACAAAGTATTCAGACAGAGCTGTATTTAATAAAATATTATGCAAGTAGTGTTTTTTCAAAGTGATACTGACTAAAAATGATGAAGTTTGACAATCCTTCATCGACGTTATTAAAACTAAGCAGAGAAAAAGAACAAAATAAATACATAAATTTGACTAACATTAAAACAAAATTCACAAATTTAAAAGAATATGTGCAAACTCACTGATTGCTGGATGCAGTTCCTGGACAGGGGCAGGGTTGGCAGGCCTGGGCTCCGCCTCTCGCCGGGTTGCCATAGTAACCGGCTTGACAGCGGTCGCACCTTGGTCCCTCGGTGTTATGAAGACATTGCTTTTGGGCAGAACACAGACAACATGAAATGTGAGCCAAAAACAAGAGTGAAATGAATATAACATCCCAAATGACAGTGTGTTTTTGCACAAGTCCAGATTCGCTCCCAGTCCTCACACACACATCTGCCATCCAGGGACTGCAGATGGAACGAGGTACGAGCTTAATCTGGTGCAGATCCGCTTTTTAATGAATTTGTACATTTGTTCCAGACAAATAAAGATTAAACTGAACACCTTCAACTCATAAAATGAAAATTACAATTTCATGGTCACATTTGGCTAGACTGGAATTAAAGGTGTGATTGATTTAGACTTAGACTTAGACAAACTTTATTGATCCACAAGGGAAATGATTTGGACACAGTAGCTCACACATCACAATATGTTATAATAAAGAGTAAAAATTATGAATAATAATAATAATACATTCTAAATAAGTAGCAAAAAAGAGCAAGAGACAGTTGTCGAATGAGGCTTAACAATATAAATGTATATGTACAAGTCAAAATAAAATAGAAAAATAGGTCATAAAAAATCTTTCATGGATACTTTGGAGTTTTATGCCAACATTTCCATGGAAACAAAGCAGACAGTGACGAAACTTATACTATTGCTACTTTTTGATACCTCGGGATACCGTAATACCATATTACCGCCCAACCCTACTCACATTGAGTGTGTTTACATGCACATGAGTATCCTGGTTATGATCAGGTTTTTTGAGTATCCCGGTTTCTTCATGGTGCATGTATACGCAGTATCCCGGTTATGGCAGTATCCCTATAGCTGGTATTTTCTGATAGTAACCAGGATACTGCGGCATGTATACGCAGTATCCCGGTTACTGCAACATAAATTTGGGTGCGAGTGCATCCAAAAGACAAATACGTTTCAGTCTTTTCACCACTACAACAGCGACATAAATAAAGTGACCATACATGAGTGAAATGACTGCACTAAACCTGCACACGAATCTGCACTTGTACGACCTGCACACGTATGATCGCTGAAAAGTTAAACATGAAACATCTCCTAAAAAATGTTTCAGAAGAAGCGCTTCCTGGACCTCCCTATGATGTCCACCTGTTTTTAACACTGCCATCTTGTGGCGTTATTAGGTGGTGTCCACAGGTGAGTCTCCACTCCTCTTCCAGGTGGAGCAGTCCTATTGGTGTTTTTTTTTTATTTAATTCACATGATTTGCTCTCAATTCTGTTTGTCCCCTGAGGAAAGCCATAGGCTGAACCGCATCAGGACTTTGTAAGTTGTCCATTAAGACATGCTGTAAACTAATAAAGGCATTTTATTTTAACCAGTGAGTGCCTTGGGTTTTTTGCATCTATGAAACATCTCCTATATGATATACACACAGAACAGACTCACCATCATCAGCCCCTCCTCTGTCACAAAAAGAACACACATAATCCACTGAGTCGTGTCCTTTAGTCCGACAGAAGCTGAACTGCATCAGCGGCACAAGGAGCAGCTGTTTTTATCGGCGCTGACAGTTTATGCTAATTAGCCATGTGGTTTTAAGTTTCGTTTCAGTAAAACGTAAACAAATGTGGCAAAGCTGAATTATATGATCAAACGGGCTGATGTGGTTATGGTTCATATGTTATAAAGTTGAGTTTATTTATGCAGAATATTTTAATAAAAAATCTACACGTTGGGTTTGATCTTTGCAGTGGATTGTTACCACTGGTTAAAACCTCCCGAGCTTCCTGTTTGTATTTTTCCTTGTTTATTAACTTAAATTAGGTTAATTTTGCACGTCACTAACACTAAAGTCTAAACTTTGAATGAGATATTTTTCTTTACAAATGCACCATTTTTGCTGTAAGTGATGATCGCTCTACCTCACAGTGTCTAAGTAACAATGTTTTTTTATATGCTAAAACTTTTATAAATAAATAAATTAAAATAACTACACTTTAATTTGCCGTAAAGGGACTAAATTACTCTATTTTCTGATCGATGTTAGTTAATTTTTGCGCTTGTGCATTTGTCAGATTATGTCAAGAAAATGGGAAACTACATTTGATCATGTATACGGGGATATGAGTATTCTGGTTTCTCAGCGTGCATGTAAACGCAGTATCCCAAATACTACCATAACCGGGATGTGACTAATAACCGGGATACTGATGTGCATGTATACACACTCAATTAGATATTTTCCAAAAAGTTCCAAGAGCCAGAAAAATAAAACCAAACTTACCAAACATGCCCCGGTCTCTGGATCGCAGCCGCTCGCGTGTCCGTGGCAGTCACACCTCTCGCATGTGCCCAGGTAGAGTCCCGAGCTGGTCCGGGTGTAGCCCTCAGCGCAGTCCTGCAAATCAATGCAACAAAACACCAAGCGAGGGAGAATAAGACCGATTATACCGTTTCCCCAAAGCATTAAACTGCAATTATCATTATAGGGTGTAATGAAAAGGGTAGTGAGCCACAAGCCTAATCGGTTTCAGAGCGTAATGATGATCGTGCGTAGTTTACAAGCTCCACAAGCCCTGAAAACTCACCTGTGCAAAACTGCCTTCAAAGAACTGCATCTTTTTCACCTACTACCTACTACTACTTTTTAATTTGTCTGTGAATGTTATGAATGCTATACAAGTGTGTTTTTATGATTATATTACTTTACAAACTAATTCAGCTGGGTAAAAGTTCGGCTGCGTTCCATTTCTCTTCACTTGTCTCCTTGATTCTTCAGTTTTCCCATCGAGCCAATTGAAAATAACCCTTATTTAACACCAGTCTTTTCATATTTTTGCTACTCATTTACAATGTTGGGGATTAACGGATTACATGTACCAGAGTTACATAATCAGAGTACAAATTATGAGTAACTGTATTCAATTACAGTTACTGTTTCCATGAGTGGTAATTGGATTACAGTTACTTTGTTGAAATAAATGGATTACATGGCGGTATTTTCCTATTTTCACATTTTGGGCTAAACCAGGACTAAACTAGAACTAAAAGCAGGACTAAACCAGGACTAAAACCAGGACTAAACTAGGACTAAACCAGGACTGAACCAGGACTAAACTAGGACTAAAAGGACTAAAGGACTAAACTAGGGACTAAAAGGACTAAAAGGACTAAACTAAACTAACTAAAACTAAACTAAACTAAAACAGGACTAAACTAAACTAAACTTTTTAATAAAACTGTTAAATTTAAGGAAAGACTGGACTTTTTATTTTCTTTTAGCACATAAAACGTCTCATGTTAAGATTTCCTCGTCTTTGCTTCTCTACAGTAAACAAAAGCCTCTTCATGGAGACTTGGGCTCAACAGACAATTTGAAGAAAACAAACATGAATTTTCAGGATGTGGTTGTTAAATTCATGTCGTTTTAAAAAGCACGACAATATCAAGTAATCCAAAGTATTCAGATTACATTACTCACTTTAAGTAATTTAATGGATTACGTTACAAACTACATTTTGGGGTATGTAATCTGTAATCTGTAGGGGAACACATTTTAAAAGTAACCTTCCCAACACTGACTATTTACAATGTATTATTACCATTTATATTTTTTATATTATACTGTGATGTGTGAGATCCTGTGTCCAAATCATTTCCCTTGTGGATCAATAAAGTTTGTCTGAGTCTAAGTCTCTAACCTCCATGTGTCACCTCTGTGGTCCTCTCTCTTCAGTGGGCGGTTTATATAATTTTTGAGTTTCAATTTTCTCTTTGTAATCAAGAAATATTTTTAAATTGTAATTTGTTTGCTACTCAGTCGATCGATAGAGTTTGTAGATGAACTATTACCTTCCTCCGCCTCTTCACTACATCCTCTTCACTACCACGAACGTCTAAACTTTGAATGAGATATTTTTCTTTACAAATGCACCGTTTTTGCTGTAAGTGATGATCGCTCCACCTGACAGTGTCTAAGTAACAGTGATTTTTTATACACAAAAACTTTTATAAATGCTTTGGTAACATATTATAATAAATACACTTTAATTCGCTGTAAAGTGCCTGAATTATGCTATTTTCTGATCGATGTTATAATGTTGTTTCCTTATCAAAAACAGACGTGGAGTTGTGTTTTGTTTCCAGTGTTGGGAAGTAATGGATTACATGTCCCGGAGTTACGTAATCAGAGTACAAATTATGAGTAACTGTATTCAGTTACAGTTACTGTTTCTGTGAGTGGTAATTGGATTACAGTTACTTTGTTGAAATAAATGGATTACATGGCCGTATATTCCTGAGGAAACCACCAATTAAATCTAAACCCTGGCCCCATTTAAACCACAATGTTAAACTAAAATTTCAAAGTGATCCAGAATCCAGGATTTCTTCCGGATCACCCCCAAAATGAAATCAGTTCTTCCTTTTCACATTTCCAACAAATCCTGAAAATATCATCAAAATCGGTCCATAACTTTTTGAGTTATGTTGCTAACAGACAAACAAACAAACAAACAAACAGACAAACGCCGGCAAAAACATAACCTCCTTGGCGGAGGTAACCAGGTCTAAATCAGGTCTAAACCAGAACTAAAACAAGACTAAACCAGGATTTAACAGGACTAAATCATGCTGCATGGACGTGTCTCCTCTTCTTCTATCAATAATATTTTTAATTTAGTTAAGTAAAGTCTGGACTTTTTATTTTCTTTTATCAAACAAAACATCTTATGTGAAGATTTCCTCGTCTTTGCTTCTCTACAGCAAATCAAGTAATCCAAAGTATTCAGATTACATTACTCACCTTAAGAAACTTCATGGATTCCGTTACAAACTACATTTTGGGGTATGTAATCTGTAATCTGTAAAGGAATACATTTTAAAAGTAACCTCCCCAACACTGTTTGTTTCAATGTGGCAATACAGGAAGTGCTTCACTGTATTTTTTCACTACATACTAGAACCATGCACACCCACGGGTGCAAAACAGTGGGACGCGGGACACATTTTGAAAGCTCATTGTGGGTGCGGGCGGGAGCAGGACTGCACAATGTGGGAGCGGGCAGATATGATGATAAACTGCAGTTCCACAAACTAAATATGAGTGTAAAGTAAAATCTACAAATGATTCATGTTTGTCTATCACGCATCATTTGTGCTGGATATTTTATTTAGCCATAATCAAAACATTTTCAGCAGCCTAATTTTGCGGATGTGATCTAATCTTGCACACATTTTAGATAATTCCTTTCCGCTACTCCGTGTTTGATAGATCTTAAGAAAGGGAATGTCCCCATCTTGTGAAATTTGGGACAAAATATCGCAGATGCAGGTGGGAGCGGGAATGAAAATTACAATTCTTTGCGGACGAGGACGGGAGCGGGACTGCACAGTGCTGGTGCGGGTGGGAGCGGGGACTGAAAATTCTGTCCTGCGCAGACCTCTACTTCAGGAGTCTCCAACCAGCAGCTTGGGACCTACCAGTAGCTCTCCACCTCCTTCCAAGTAACTCGTCAAGGGATTTCTGAATTACACACGCACATACACATTGTGCTCAATAAGTAAAATTTCATGAATTACCGTATTTTCCAGGCTATTAGGCGCTCTGGACTATAAGGCACACTGTCATTAAATGGTCTATTTTTGAACTTTTTTCACAAATAAACCGCACTGGACTTTAAAGGAAACACAACAGTTGGATGGGTGAGTGGTTTTGTTTGTTTGTTCGTTCACGGTGACTCTGGGCTTTGTTCAGTTGTGGCGTGTAGGGAGGGTGCTGTCTGGGACCAACGGATTGTCGGCGTGTTCACAGTGACTCAGTTGTTCAGTTGTGTCTAGAAGTGGCACATTGCACTCGATTTTTCGGTTCGTTCCTCCTTTCAGTTCCTTGTCGGCGTGTGGAGTGATGAGTGTGTCTGTGGGTGTGTTTCTCTGTGCGGTCGCTGTCTGCTCCGTGTGTGTTTGCGTGTTCTGGGGGTGGTGCGGCTTTGTAGTTTACTGAAGTCGTGCTGGGACACCCGACTGGATTCATGTATAGGGCGCTCTGGCTTATGGGGCATGTGGCCGTTTCTTGATAGGGTTAGAGGCTTGAGAGCGCGTCTAATAGCCCGGAAAATACGGTAATTGCCTTTATCATTGTACACGTATCAATTTGATGCATAACTTTGCACACTAATAAATGGATAATGGTTTATGTTTTACAGGGATCTCACTGTACCTCATCTAAAGCTCGCCATGGCTCTTGTATATGCTCAATTTCTTGTAACCGCTAAAACCACTAGCTCTCTGCAATTTTTGTTTTGTAAAAGTAGCTCACTGGAAAAAAAAGTCTGGAGACCCCTGCTCTACTTCATAAACCTCCACTGGAATAATCTGGATAATTTCAGCCCTGGATTTGCCAATCTCTATTCAACAAAAGGTAAAAGGATAACTTGGAAACTACCACTACAATGACATCACAAGGTGGAACAGAGGATTTTGAGCAGAATAATAATAAAGGAAACATGTGAATGAAACAAAACACAACTCCAGGTATAATTTGATGAGTTAACAACATTTCTACACAAGAATCCATTTTGCGTAATAGAGGACCTTTACTAAACCATTTGCTCATTATGAATGAAGTCTTTGTTCATGTTTTATTAAAGACTAAGGTGTAGTCATTATAAAGTGGTAATGTCTCTTCTATTTAACAGAACCAGTGTTGGGGAGTAACAGATTACAAGTAACTGTTTATGAGTAGACTATGATTATGAGTAAGTGTTTTCAGTTACAGTTACTGTTTCAGTGAGTGGTAATTGGATTACAGTTACTTTGTTGAAGTAAAGGGATTACATGGCGGTATGTTCCTGTTTTCACATTTTGGGCTATATCCCTTTTTTTTTTTTTCTTTTCCCGTAATTCCACTCATTGATAGACACTAAACCAGGTCCAAACCAGGTCTAAACCAGGTCCAAACCAGGTCTAAACCAGGTCTAAACCAGGTCTAAACCAGGTCTAAAAAGACTAAACCAGGTCTAAACCAGGACTAAACCAGGTCCAAACCAGGACAAAACCAGGACTAAACCAGGACTAAACCAGGTCTAAACCAGGTCCAAACCAGGTCTAAACCAGGACTAAACCAGGACTAAACCAGGTCCAAACCAGGACTAAACCAGGACTAAACCAGGACTAAACCAGGACTAAAACCAGGTCTAAACCAGGTCTCAAACCAGGTCTAAACCAAGACTAAAACCAGGTCTAAACCAGGACTAAACCAGGTCCAAACCAGGACTAAACCAGGACTAAACCAGGACTAAAACCAGGTCTCAAACCAGGTCTAAACCAAGAGTTAAAACCAGGTCCAAACCAGGTCTAAACCAGCAATAAAACCAGGTCTAAAACAGGATTTAACAGGACTAAACCATGTCCGCGGATCGTGTCTCCTCCTCTTCTATCAATAATATTTTTAATACGGTTAAGTAAAGTCTGGGCTTTTTTATTTTCTTTTATCAGACAAAATATCTTATGTCAAGATTTCCTCGTCTTTGCTTCTCTACAGCAAATAGTAATCCAAAGTATTCAGATTACATTACTCACTTTAAGTAATTTAAGAGATTTTGTTACAAACTACATTTTGGGGTATGTAATCTGTAATCTGTAGGGGAATACATTTTAAAAGTAACCTTCCCAACACTGAACATAACGTAATTTGTTCCCACCTGACAGGACGGTCCTCTGTATCCCTGCGGACAAGCACACTCCTCCACCTCCAGCGCTCGCTCATTACCGGTGGAGTGTGGGACCGCAATATCCATCTTGATATCAGAAATACTGGAAGGCAAAACACATATTGAATCAAGAATATCAAATTGAGCCCTATTTCATTTTTAAGGATACAATAGTTTCCATGCTTGCCTGCTCTCGGCCATGTTGTCGACGTAAGTGGCTCGGATCATGAAGACGGTGATGTCAGCGAGAGCCATCAGAAGGTGCTCGCGGGTGCAGGGCTGTCCGTCCGCTCTTCTCCACACAGACTTTTAAAACAATTCAGAAAAAAAGGTTAGACGATTGCGCAGAGATTAAAGCTTCATTATGTAACTTTTCTGATGAAGGGAGTTCCATCTGGAAACACTTGTTCCACAGTAGAGCATTTGGTTTGAAAATATCTTCTCTGTCTGTCTTGTCTAATAACTGATACCAATTTCAGTACCACAGTTGTACTACAGTATAATCCGTGTGTCAGTCATTCATTAGTTTTTCAAAATAAAACCAAAAAAAGAAAATGAAAAAAATACTATTTTCTTCATTATTTGTCTCTAAAACCAAAATGAAAAAACAGATAACGATTTGTTTTTTCAGTTTTCGATTTTGTGTTTAAATGAAGAATGGAAAAAACGGATAATAGATGTTTCCCGTTTACGTGACTCCCGTGACTGCGATGCCGGACGTCTGCGCCACATACTGACTGAACCAGGACTGATCCAGGTCTCGGTAAATCATTTTTCCAAAGTAGTAATAAACATTTCTTTGCAAAAGATGTTATAGTAATCAGTATTCTACATTTCTTTTTCTCTAAATGAAGTTGTGTGTCATTTAACAAATATATATTTGAATGAATATCAAAAGCTTTTTCCAAAGCAGTTTGTGTAAAGGAATGAATTGAGTTCCTTAAGTTTTTTAAAAGTTCACAATCCCAAAACATGTGTATATATGTTCCATCCTTTAATTTGCAACGAGGGCATTGTGCAGAGATATCTTTTGATGTTTTATTCATTCTTACAAGTGTAAGATAATATTTATGTAGAAATTTAAAATTTGCTTCTTTAATTTTATTACTGGTGAATGGAAAATTGTTTTGGCCAAGTATTACTGACCAAATATTATCTTTTAAAGTTAATTTCAGACCCTTCTCCCACATCTTCTTTAATCTCTGGAATGATGACTGACCTTCATTTGAAATAATGTTGTGTAACATTTATTTATATTCCCCTTGATTGTTTCTTCTGTTAGCAACTGATCTTCAATTTCTTTTAATTCAGTGCAAATCTTTATTAGATATGCCATATTCTGTCCTTAAACTGTTGAATGATTTAATTTCCATATCTTCATTGAACAGATCCTTAAATTGTTTTATACCATAGTTTGTCCATTCACTTATGTTAGTCGTGATGGTTATTGTTGTTGCAATGCAAGTTTTTAAAAAGATTTCTAAGCGATAAAAACACCTGTAATATAATAAATGCAAAACGAAGAAGTTTAATGTCATACTGTTTAGCATTCCAAGCAAAGTTATAAAATCTCCATGGAGACAAGCCCATGGCAGACTCCCCAACAGAAAGGTTACATAGTGCACCTTTAAATTCGTGCACCCACCTCTCTGAAGGTCACAGTCATGGTTTGTGGAACACGTGCGGTTGGTTTGGTTTTAGAGAAATGCTCCAAAAAGATGCCATTTCCCTGGAGAACCACGTCTGGCTGACCGTCGATGGTCAGGGAGCGCAGCCTGGGCTCAAACCGAACCGTGTAACGCAACTCTCCTCCGTACGCCGTCACCTGAAAGAGGCACAGAGCAGAGGAGGAGGTCGGGAGGAGAGCAGCTCAGAGGAGAGGAGCAGCTCAGAGGAGAAGAGGTCATGTAGAGCTCAGAGCAGAGTGGTGGAAAGGTATGTGCATGTGTATGTGTCTGTTAGAGTCACGAGACAGAGGTGTGGGGCTGAGAGGGTTCAAAGCGGATCCTGTCTGGATGTGTTTGGACTCAGAGACAAGCCCAGACACAGCACATATACACACAGGCATACATACACACGCATACATAGACACGCATACATACACACGCATACATAGACACGCATACATAGACACGCCTGCATACACATGCATGCACACATGCATACACACACGCACACATACAGCAAAGGGATGAGATTAGCTAACACCAGCCTGCTTCCTCTTCACCTCCACAGCCTCATTTTGTTGGATATCTCACCTTATCTCCCCTGAAGCTCTGCGGCAGCACCCAGAAGTAAACATCACTGTCCACAAAGGAGCGGTAGACGATTTCTGAGGCGCCTCTTTGACTGATGCCTTGAGAAATAGTTTTAGTGTTGGCACTATTGGCTAAAGTGAAGAGTTGCCCATTTACTCCTCCACGCACCTGTGGACATAAACATATGTTACTGAGATGTGAATGTGATGTGTCTGCATCAGCAGAATCCCTTTTGCTCACTGCTCCACACTTTTAGCATCTCAACAGTAAATGCTGATACAGCGGAGCTGCACAAATATTGAGACAAACGTTGATACCAAAAATATGCCCTGCCTTCAAGAGCTGGCAACCTACTTGATCTCTGTTCCAAGTGGAGCTGGCGCACTGCTTGGTGACACCCATACAGAAACACTGCAGACAGCCCTCAGGATTGGCCTCGGAGAGGTGGAAGAAGCCAGGCTTACATTCATCGCACTGAGCCCCTGCCACGTTGTTCTGTAACATTCACAGCAATGCAAAACATGTGTTATGCATCAGCAGATGACAGCAGTAAATACAAATAAAGCGCTTTGAAGGCCTCAGTATAACTGACCTTGCAGTTACAGGGCCAACTGCTGGAGCTGATGGATCCACTGTTATCACATTTGGTGGAGCCTAAAGAGGAGCAGAGGATGAGACACCTGGAAGCAGTGTACCCAGTGCATACCTGAGCCATGAGCACACTATACAATCACTGTATGGGAACTATTACATGAGGCCAGGACCACATATGTCTTTACAGACAGACAGAGGGGCCAACAGGTGCAAGTGCTCTGCTCAAGGACGCTGAGGCTTTCAGACAGACAACAGTTACAGACAGTTAATGAACACTCACTGGCGACAGCAACACATTTTCCATTGGGTTGTAGGGGGTTACCCTGGTAACCAGGTGCACACCTAAACAAAAATGTTTTTTGGTTAGGAGTATTTTAGAAGTATTTTATTATAGTACTAAAATAACACATGCATCTCACTTTTCACAGCGTCTTCCAGTGTACCCAGGCCTACAGGCGTCACATGTTGCTTGTTGGTCAACATCCAAAAAGCATGTGTCCGAAAACCTAGTAAAAGTAATAAATAAGAATAATGAGGAATGCACAGATAGTTCAGAGAGTGTGTGTGGCCTATGGCCTCACCGTCTGGAGGTCTCGTAGTACGGGCAGGGGCAAGGCTTGCAGTCGTCAGGGCGACCGCGGGTGGGGTCACCGAAGTAACCCGGGCGACACTTATCGCACTGAGGGCCCTCTGTGTTGTGCTGGCAGCTCTGTGAAATGGAACACATCAGTCACTCCACAGGACAGCACCCAGAATAGATCCAAAGGTTTGCCATTTGTAAAGTGGTTTTATGTGACTCAGGCTGAGAGTGACACAGGGAAGTGGATATGGGAAAGATGTATGTACGAAAAATATAAGTCAGCTCAAGCGTGTCAAATAAAAGTCTATTATTTCATTTTATTTATGGAAAACACTGAATGAGTACAGTATAAAACACATATGTGATTCCTGATCATTACCAGACAGTGGCCGTTGATGGGGTCGCAGGCGCTGGCGTGTCCGTTGCAGTTGCAGCCTGCACATGTGCCCAGGTACAGCCCTCCAGGAACACGTTCAAAACCAGCAGAGCACATCTCACAGGACAGACCGGTGTATCCGGGAGGGCATCTGGACATAAAGGAATCAAAAAACTGTATGAGCAAATCACAATACAGACTATTATTACAGCAAAATCACTCATGAAATATCCATAGCAAATTAAGATTTACATAGAGAGATCAAAATAAAACTGAAGCAGGACAATCTTTGTAATTTGGTTTTAATACAGCCTTCCTTCGTCCAGGTTTATCCTTTTTTTTTGTTTTAACACATTTTGACCGGCATTTTGACTCACCATTAATAAGTTGACATTTTCCAACACTGCATTATTTCTCATACCTTGTGCTCTTAGGAAAAAACCTGCCTCATTTTCAGTTTTCCCACCTGCATTCCTCCACCTCTTTGGCGTGGCCTGAAGTCCTGAACTCTACGTTGGTGGTGTCCATGAGGATGTCGCTAAGGGCAACGCTGACCATGTGGTTGTCGTAGATGGTCCGGATGTTGATGCTTTCCAGACTGACCAGAGTCATCATCAGCTCCTCTCGAGTCACGGGGCGACCATTCGAGTGCTGCCAGTTTTGCTAAAATAAAAAAATAAAATAAATAAAAGTAAATGCAGTGTTATTTGTAGTTAGAAGGGTATTAAGCACATGGTCCCACAAAAAAAAACAACAAAATTATGAAGCTACCGTCTGCCATCTTCCCTCACCAAGCAATTCACTTAAAGATGCATTGTGTAACTTTTCTAGAAGCTGGAGCGTGTTTCCCAGGCTTTTTTTCTGGGGACCCATATTTTAAAAGTCACAATTTTTCGCGTCCCAAGTCAATAGACATTATTCGTAAATCACAAAATAAAATTGTGACCATTATTGAACATTAATGAGGATATTTTATTGTTGACTGAGTGATCGTGTCTCTCTGAACAATTAGTATTACCGTATTTTTGGGACTATAAGGTGCACCAGATTATAAGGCGACGTCAGCTTCACTGGTTATTATTTATGTTTAAATGAATTCATCTCAGTTATCCTGAATATCTCAAAAAGTATTTAATTCCGTTCAGATCCTCTTACAGTTTACGTCCCACAGATCAGATATTTTTTATTGCCCCAGAGTCAAAAAACAAATAGGAAAACGCTAATTTAAATATAAAGCTCCTTCTGATTGGAACAATCTTCCCTCATCGATTTGTGCATTAACTTCTTTCCTTTCATTTAAAAATGCTCTGGTTCAATATTTACAGAAGCCATGTCATTGTTTTTGATCATGTTGTTGTATTTAGTTGTTCATCTTGTTGTATTTTGTGATTATCTTTAAACTCTCTCTTAGTTTTTTGCTCAAATTAGTTTTATTATGTGTCTAACAGTCAAGTGTGAGTGACTGTGTGTTTGTGTGTGTGTGCGCGTGTGTGTGTTTGTGTTGATTTTGTTGCTTTAATGTTTATTTGAATGTATGTATTCTACTGTCTGTCCTACTGTATCTGTCTTTTGTTGTTGTAACTATGAGGACCCCCTCAAAAACAAGATGGCGAGACGTCTCAAGGGGCTTATCCTCAAAACAAATAAATTCAAATAAATTCAAATAAGGTGCACTATCAATAATGTTGAATTCTCTTGTCTATTTTCATACATAAGGAGCACCCGATTATAAGACGCATTAAGTGAAACTAATGGATGACCTTGAGACTTGAAACTTTTTTATTTCCTACGAGGAGGACTCAAATAGAGATTGAGTAATAATGTGTTTAATGCAGCTTTGCACATTTGTTTACGTTTTTCAGAGACAAAATGTAAAACCATATGGATCATTTGCATAAACTATAAGACGGGAATGTCCAAAAATTTTTCATCAAGGGCCACATACCTAAACACAGAAGAAGTAGAGGGCCGATCGAGGGCCGTAGACTGATGCTCAATACAGTGAATAACTGAAATGTGTGCATGTTTAAACACGTTAGAATGAGCCATCAGTCTTTATTCATGTTAAGATCCTCAAAACCACACACTAAATATTAAATATTGGCTTTATCAAGGTAGATTTTCAAAAAACTTGCAGTAAAAAGTTCATTTTTAATTGATGCAAGGTCATTTGGGCCAATTCACCTGGAAGCCTGAGGGCCAAAAAAAATTTGTCGGAGGGCCTCATTTGGCCCACGGGCCATAGTTTGGACCTGCCTGTTATAAGAGATATAGCTCGCTCCTTGTGCGCTGAGTGGAATATTTGTGAAAACAGGTTTGAGGTCAGTAGCACAACCAGAAATAATACATAAGGCACTGGATTATAAGGTGCACTGTCGATTTTTGAGAAAATTAAGGGATTTTAAGTGCGATTTATAGTCTGAAAGATACGGCACTCAAGTTTTAAACAAGGAAAAACTGTAATCAGTGTTTCCCACAGTGCTGCGGAGATTCTGTGCATGAAGAAGAAGTGTGGAGCGAGGGTGCGTGGAGAAGTAGTGTGGAACGAGGGGGTGTGAGGACATGTATGTACCATATATGTATATTGCAGACCGACATGCAGATCGTGACAAGGCGACCAAAAAGTTCTACAGTATGGAGTAGGAAAGCATATTTTTCAAGCTGTTTTTGAACTATAGAAACAGCTAAAATGAAATACAAAAAAACAGATTGTTATGTTTAATTCATTACAGCTAAATATTCTAAGCAAATAAATTTCCATGGCCAAGCGGCCGACATATCCTCCATCTGAAAAGTTACGTATTGCACTTTTAAGCACAGAGATAATGCCTGCTAAGGTGTATGGACTTAACAGAGAAGAACTTCATGAATTATAATGTAGAGCCTTGAGGAGTGATTGCTTTGAGAAATGGAGAGGGAGACGCACTAAATTATGTTAATTACTGAGACATACAAAACAGCTCTGGGTATGGTTGTAGAACATAACAAGATTCTTAAAAAAAAAAAAAAGCTTAGGACATTTGGTTTAACATAATATAGCAATTTATGTGCAACTATAAATCTCAAGGACCCTCCAAGCTTTACTTCTGGAATTGCCCCCCTTAAATCTCGAAACAACCTTTATTACATTAATATAATTTGATTTTGAGCCGAAATAATGGCCTGATACCTCGGTGAACTTGATGTCTTTGGAGTTGGGGACTCTGGCGGGAGTGGGGCTGCCTCTGCGGTACACGAGCCTGCGTCCGTTTCCCACTATTATCACATCGGGCTTCTCCACAGGCTCCGACAGACCGCGGGCCAGAGTGTAACGCACTTTGTACTTCAGCGAGCCTCCGTATGAGTCGATCTGAAAAAGAAAAAATATGTTTAAATGGATACAATTTGCTTGCATGTCATAGTGTGAAGAATCCCTCCGTTGTCCAGGTAGAATCCATGTGAAGGAGAAAATTCAATTTGTCGACTGGACAAAAGTTAATTTGGTTGAAGACGTTTCGCAGCTCATCCAAGCTGCTTCTTCAGTTCTGGTCAGACGCTGGTGGACACTTCCTTATATCTGTCTGCAGGGAGGAGCTAACTAACTGAAACTAACACACACTTGTTTACAGTTTCTGTTAGTTAGTTGGGCCTATTGACCTGTACAGGGTGTGGGGTCTAATTAGCAGCAACAATTCATGGCCATAATGGAGCTTCCACACCTCTGGACCTGACCTGGCTACACCTGTTGTTCTCTTGTTTGTTTTGAATTAAGTTTGAGGATGGAGTTGTAAATAGGAGTTAGATGGTGTCTGAGTCCTCCATTTCTGTTTAGAGAAGGATTCTCTTTCTTAACAAAAATGGCTTCTTTCACTCCCCTCTCAAACCAATTTTTCTCTCTGGCTAAAATTTGTACCTCGCTGTCCTCTAACGAGTGGCCTGTGGCTTTTAAGTGGAGATGTACAGCAGACTGAGGTCCACTGCTGCTCTCTCATTTTAGCCAGAGAAAATAATTGGTTTGAGAGGGCAGTGAAAGAAGCCATTTTTGTTAAGAAAGAGAATCCTTCTCTAAACAGAAATGGATTCAAACACCATCTAACTCCTATTTACAACTCCATCCTCAAACCTAAATCAAAACAAACAAGAGAACAACAGGTGTAGTCAGGTCAGGTCCAGAGGTGTGGAAGCTCCATTATGGCCATGAATTGTTCTGCTAATTAGACCCCACACCCTGTACAGGTCAATAGGCCGAACTAACTAACAGAAACTGTAAACAAGTGTGTGTTAGTTTCAGTGTAGTTAGCTCCTCCCTGCAGATATAAGGAAGTGTCCACCAGCGTCTGATCATAACTGAAGAAGCAGCTTGTATGAGCCGCGAAACGTCTTCAGGCAAATTAACTTTTGTCCAGTCGACAAACTGAATCGCATGTCTTGTGTTATGTATGTAATTATTTTAGTTTAATTTTATTTATTGTTTTAGGACTTTAATATTATTTTATGAGCACTGGTAGAGCATTTTTTTAATTTGTTTGTTTTAATTGTTCCATGCAGGACTTGGAAATGTTACAGTTTATAAAGTGTGCTATAAAAATAAAGTGGATTGGATATTTGAAGAACGAGTTTAATGAGTTCACTACAATACATCTGCATTTGACCCGTCGTTGTTGACCCACCAGCCGCCCAGCTACAGCAGTACAATGATTTACCTTGTTGCCAAGAAACTGTCGAGGTAGAGTCCAAAAAGAGTCCAAATTGAGGAAGCGTCTTGAGAGATCGACCAGCTGAAACTCTCTCTCCTCTGGGTTTATCATGAGCTGAGTGGAGGACAGAGGAGGGGTCCCGGGTCGAGACGGGAAAGAAACATTCACACCTACACCAAAATAAATTCAGATGTTAAATGTTTTGAGCTACAGACTTCGGGCAAAAGTCATTTTCTTTATGTTTACTACTTTCTAAAGTGTAGATACAATATTGAAAACATCAAATTTATGAAGCAACAACTCAACAACTCACTTGGATAACTCATTTCACTGTTGCACTCGCTTCATATGACCTCTTGTATATAGCTGAGATTTTATATTTTACTACTTATCTATTTTATTTTGACTTGCACATTTACATTTATATAATTATATCTTATTTCACATGTCTCTTGCTCTTTTTTTGCGAGTTATTAAGAATTTGTTATTACCATTTCCCTTGTGGATCAGTAAAGTTTGTCTAAGTCTAAGGTTAAGACTGCAGGACTTAATGCTCAGTTCAGATTTTTTTGCGTCGTTGTTCACATTTCCATTTACCGTATTTTCCGGGCTATTAGGTGCTCTGGATTATAAGGCGCACTGTCATTGAACGGTCTATTTTCAAACTTTCTTCACAAATAAACGGCACTGGACTTTAAAGGAAACACAACAGTTGGACGGGTCAGTCGGACTTTGTTTGTGGCGTTCACGGTGACTCTGGGCTTTGTTCAGTTGTGGCGTGTAGGTGCTGTCTGGGACCACTGGATTGTCGGCGTGTTCGCAGTGACTCAGTTCAGTTGTGTCTAGAAGCAGCACATCGCGCTCGCTTTTTTGGTTCGTTCCTCCGTTCCGTTCCTCATCTGCGTGGAGTGATGAGTGTGTCTGTGGGTGTGTTTCGCTGTGCGGTCACTGTCTTCTCCGTGTGTGTTTGCGTGTGCTGTGGGTGGTGTGGCTTTGTAGTTTACTGAAGTCGTGCTGGGACACCCGAGTGGATTCGTGTATAGGGGGCTCTGGATTGCGGGGCGCGCAGTCATTTTTTGATGGGGTTGGAGGCTTAAGAGCGCGTCTAATAGTCCCGAAAACACGGTAAATGCAAGTTATGTGTGATCTCCAGTGTGAACTTTAAACGCCCCAAAAGTGTCCCGCATGCGCACTGGAGGACACGACAACGTCACACACAGCGAGCGTGCTTAGTGTTTACAGAAGTCGCCTAAACATGGAAGCAGCATTGAGCACCTGGAGATTTTAAAATTGGTGCTGTCGGACCACAGCCAGAACATGTACAGCTTATTTGTTTTAAGGAGAAGATAGAGAAGGAGAAGGACGAGGTTTTTGTCCATGATGTTTTTTTGTGGTGCAGTGGCAGCAACGTCCGTAGAAAGAAACGTGTGGATGCAAAGTCGCGGCCAAGAGTGGTGGGATTGTGATGTGCTTTGCTGCTTCACTGATACGAAGTTCAAGCACAATTTTTGTCTGACGAGAAGAACGTTTGTGTACATTTGTGACATTTAGGATGGATGAATTTGACTGTCGCATGACAAAAGATCAGATATGTATCAGTTTTAGGAGCACATATCCAAGTGGGCTGGATCTCATTTGAAAAAATCAGATCTGTGTGGTTCAGACTGTCATTAAAAGATCAGATACAGGAGCATATCGGATTTGAGTCACTTCAGGCAGCAGTCTGAACGTAGCCTAAGATGTCTCAGATTATGTAGCTAAGAAAAAAGGTAATATAAAGCAAAATATCTTTTATATTTAAGATTCAGATTCCTCAGTAGTCCAGTAACCACCCTTTGCTTTGTGCTGCAAACCCTTGACCTTCTGTAAGTGAGCTTCATAAATCTTCTGAAATGGTTTCTGCTTCATTAGTGGAATACCAAGAGTGTGCAAAGCAGTGATTAAAGCAAAGAGTAGCAATTTTTAAGAATCTATAATTTACAACATGTTTTGAGCTATTTAATACTGTTTTGTTTACTACCTTCCTTAAGCATTCATTCGTAGTTTTGATTAGTGAGAATTTACATTTGTCGTGAAATAAATGAAAAAACACTGAATGAAAAAGTGCATCCAAACTTGACGGGTAGAGCATATATTATTTGTTGCTTAGTAAAAGTATGAGTACCTTTGTAGTCTTCCTCCTCGGTGAAGCGTAGGCTGATTTGGTCTCTGTAGCGTCCGGTGGCTTTGCAGTTCTTTGTAACTCCGGCACAGAAGCAGGGTACGCAGCGACCATCCATGCTGAACTGACCATCGGGGCAATTTCCTGAGAGTAAAAATGTGGTTTATTTGAGATTTTGAAAAAGAAACTGGCTCTGGAAGTTGTAACCTGTAAGTAGACTTGCACAATTTATTACAAAACTAGTAGTACTTTTAAATATTTTTTCTTGTAAATACCAATTACACGATTCATATACATATTGTAATCACTATAATCAGTCTTTTATTCACCTCAAATTTTCAGTTCATTACAAACTAACCTAAAATTGAAATGTTTTGGGACTTAAATTTTCCAAAAGTCAAGTTTTAGTCCAGATTATTGATAGTTTGATTGCAACTAAAACCTAAACAAGTGCAATCAGAGATATCAACCTGGTCCCCATGAGGCGTCGGTGGGTCAGTTCATCAGCACAGAAGCAGTTTATGAAGAGCCCAGCCCATATTACATGATCATTATATCCACAATACAATGTGTGTATGTGTACAGGCCCATGAACATTTGTGTGATATTGGTCACACATGAGAATGTCTGTGTTTACAAGTGTGTGATGAAAATGTCATTTTTCATGAGTTGTGTGTGTGTTAGTTGTGTGACTGTAGATCAGTGTGTTGTGCATCAACCAGAAAAACAAGAAATGGAAATTATTTTCTTTCTAATTAGAATTTTAATGGCTACACTGAAAGAGAAAGGAACTGTTAAAATTTGTGATTATCTCGAAAACTATTAATATTTTACTATACAAATGCATAGAATTATAAATAGATAATAATTTTTCTGAGATCCTGTTGCTCGAGCTCAGTCCTTCGGGGAGTTATGACCAAAAACACATATTTGACCTTGGTTACCTTGACCTTCAAGTGACTTTGACCAGTTTCAACCTGTAACATCCAGTGTACCCCCGTTATGTGTGTGCCAACTTGTGTGATGATTGGGTGAATATTTTAGCCCACAGATGGTTCAGAAATTGCCGAAATTGCTGATCCTTTATAATGTCGTGACTTTTCAATTGACCCGTGTGACCTCAAATGACCTGAGATCGTCACCAAACTTTTTTTGTGGCGTCGGGTACGTGGGTTTGACCAACAGACCAAATTTGGTGAAAGTTGATCCATAAATGGTGGAATTATTGCTGGTAGACAGACACACACACACACAGACACAGGCACAGGGTGAATGCAAAACCTGGTCAGCCCTTCGGAGACCAGGTAATTATCCAGGTTTGCCTCCACAGGGATGTTTTTGCCTTAAAATGTTGCACAGTGTGGCATTAAACTTGTAGATCTGTACAGAGGTGACTTAATTCACAGTAAGAATGTGTGCTGTTAAAGTTTTATCCCTTAATTTGACACAGTTAGAGTCAGTGATATTAAAGGTTCTTAAATTGTTGCATTTGTTTTCAGCTAAACTGACTCAAAATTGCATACAAAATATCATAACATTTTTATAATATTCAAATGGAATATTTGACAAAACTATATAATGTCCCTTGGTGTTCATTGCTTTTTGGATTGTATATCAGTAGTATTCATACCTGGGTTTGTAGAAGTGGTCAGAGTGAGTACTCCATCGGGGATACCAAACACCAGTCCTTTAGCGTTGATGGCCTCGCAGGTGTACGCTCCCTGATCCGTCTCTTTCACATCTCGAATGATCAAAGTGCCACGCCCATCTTCACTCGTCATGGTGATCCTAGAAATAAACAAGGAGATAAATAAGACTGAGGCAGACGATCAGACTCACAAACCAGGAACGTAAGATTTCAGCGCTGAAAATCTGATATAAACAAATAAAATGAATACATGCTGCTAATGTCCAAAAGCAGTGTTTATTTTATGGTATGTTACCAGACCACCAAAGGAGTCCCGACTGACTGAAAGTAGGAGTTTGCAAAAATATCAGAAATGCACACGGTGATACTAAATTTGCTGATCTGGTAATTGTATAGCTGGATTATTTGTATATCAACAAATGCGTAAATGATGAGAAGAAATGGCTCAAACTTCAGTAACTGGACATCCAATTTTTAATTTTTTAATTTAATTTAATTTATTTAAAAGCAGGACACACAGAAAACATTCATCTCAGACAGAAAAGATTCTCTGTACCAGATTGAGATATAAGCTGCTTTCCATCTGCAGTTCTTGGGCAGGTACAAAATACATTAAAGAGACTATTTACATTAGACCAACTCTAACAACATTTCTGCAGTATCGGTGTCTCCTTAAAATAACCATGATCCAATTCATTACTAAACATTTAAAACAATCAAAATTCATTCACTCTAATTTCCTTAAATAGAAGATTTCAAATTCACCATTATCTTAAAAAAAATACTTAAATTCACTGTCATCAATATCCTCTAAAATGTACATTTACCAAATTCATCGGTATTTTTATCCTCTAAAATACAATTCAACATGACCATCAAGACAAATGTCATTAGCACACACATTAACATAACACATTTACTGTACATCTACACAATACATCTGTAGTACATAAGTATCAGTCAGAATGTTTAAATGTTTGAAGAAGCCTGATGTTGTTTAAGCCCATGAGAGAAAGTGCAGTAGTTGCTGCATTCATACCTGACCGACACAACTAGTCTAGCCTCCCAGGAGAGCCTGAAATCTCCTGAAATCCTAAGAGACACTGACATGATACAGACAGGACAGAGGCTCTTTCTGCAGGAGACATGCGCAGTAGAGCACGAAGTAACATAGTCTGATAATCCCTCTATACCAGGGGTGTCAAAGTCATTTTGGTCTGGGGGCTGTATTCAACCTACTTTGATCCCAAAGGGGCCAGAAAAAAATAAATAAAATAATGGCATATATAACCCCAAAATAGCAATAAGTTTAAATATTTGTGCAGAGAAATGCAAATCTATTATAGAAATCTTTTTAAACTGATGAACTCTTTCTTTTACAAAATATTATAATATTATGAAAAACCTGAAACTTTAAGAAAAATGCAATTTCAATACAGTGTTTTAATATTAACTTGTATGCAAATAGGAATAAGTCAATTTTTCTTGGAAAATTCTTCACTCGGCTCCACTTTTCTCATGTTGGACATTTTTCTGATGAGGGTGTCACGGTCAACAGTCAAAACGATCGTCCTTTAAGAGCGTTTGGAAAGAGACAAGTCTTCATTTGTGCTGCTCTGGTGGGAGGGGCCACGTACAGAGACGCTGGAGACACTGCTATACTAAGCACCGCAGAAAATTACCAATATTTTAATAGAAAATATAATTCAAATAGTTTAGTAGAAAATCAGCCAAAGTCCAGATTAAAGGTCTTGAAGGGCCAGATCCAGCCCCCGGGCCGTATGTTTGACACCCCTGCACTATACTGTGCTGCTAATATATCATCGTTTGTTTTTGTTTGGTTTTTTTTTACATTATTTTGTGACACTATCATTGCATTGCTTGTTTAGAGGAAGGATATTTATGCAGTACATTTGACATATTCACTATTTTGATGATTAAAAACAGGTTTATATTAAGTTTCTGCAGGTAGTGGATTAATGAACAAATAAATCCCTAGAAGTGTAAAATGTTCAACTCAAAAACCCCTATGGCGGTGTGGTGCTTTTTTCCATACCCTAAGCTTTCAATGATTTACTGTCATTGCTAAAGATATCTAATTCACTGTAACTGTTTAACCACACACACGGGCTACACCCTGCTCTGAAAATGCAAATTCATGAAGATTATTTTCAGCCAAGGAATTTGTGTTTGCTGTAACCACAGAGAATTTCACATGTTTAAAAGTGAGCACAAGTCAGTTTAAAAGGTACAGTGTGCCGCTTTCTGGAGGGGGCATGTCTCCTGTTTGATTGCAGATACAGTAGATATGTTTTTGGCATACTGTGGAGGATTATAGGGAAAATAAAGAAAGAGCTCTCCTCCAGGAAAATACGAGTCAGGTTTGCGGAGATGCAAACCCAGTCACATTAATGAAGCATGATTTTCAGTGCAATAAAAACAACTAAAATGAAGAAAGGTACCGTATTTTTTGGACAATAAATCACACTTTTTTCATGGTTTGGGTGTTTCCAATGACTTATACTCAAGTGTGACTTATACATTAAAATTTTCACACTGAAGCATCAAGAGGGTGCTCTAGTCTTGTATGCCAGTATCTGCTGCTCCTGTTCCTCCTGTACCACTGTCATTTGGCTCTACTGCGCATGTCTCCTGCAGAAAGAGCCTCTGTCCTGTCTGCATCATGTCAGTCGATCGCACCATTGCTTCTGCACCACTGAACAATTTAACATTTAAACACTTCAAACTTATAGAGACTGAGAAGACTGAACACAAATGATCCCCAAAAAAATCAATCAAAATCGTATTTTGCAGATTACAAGCTGCAAGTCGTGAAATCTGCAGCTGAAAACTCTAATCGAGCAGCAGAAAGAAAGTTTGGAGTGAGTGGGAAATTTGTGACACCGGGAGGATGCACCATGCAACTTTCCCTTCAATGACACCGAAACCATCCTGTTGGGATTCAGAAAAGCTGAAATAAATTTAACTGGAACTGATGCTGAGTCTGACGACAGCTACACAGAAGAGGAAGCGGCGCTATGTTTACCTCCAGAGGTCGAGGCCGAGTTGTTCAGAAGTGACACCGAGGATGAAGAATTGAATGGATTTAGTGATTTGGAGTGAGATGGAGAGTTTGGTAAACTTGTTCTGTTCTGTTTATGCTATAATTATCTGAAGAACTGTTCATATGTGACGTTAACAGTCTGTTGTTCTCTGTCCTACTTTTATTACTAGAACTTCTCTTCATGATGAAATGTCAGGTCCTGATTTCTGATTTTATAAAACAAATTCCCCCCCAAAAGTGCGACTTATTATGTTTTTTTCTTCTTCATTACACATTTTTTGGCTGGTGTGACTTATACTCCAGAGCCACTAATAGTCAGAAAAATCTGGCACTTTATTTTAGTATTTTCTGGCTCATAAGTTACATACTGTAGATTTAAGATAAGGTTAAAGGATCCACCTTACACTATTTTCAGTAACTGTTAACTTGAAGACTACTGCTTCATGACATCACAATGTGGAAGAGAGCATTGTGAGCTTTGGAGATAAAGTATAAACTTTCTGATAATAAAAGGTTACTCAAACATGTGAACGAAACAAAACCCAACCCCGGGTATGTTTCTGACGAGGAAACAACATTTTAACATTGCTTAAAGCTCACAAGAGTCCTTTTTGCGTAATAAACTTTAAGCCACTCTTGAATTGTCCTCTGCATTTGACCCGTTGTAGAAACAAACTGACAGATCACACACATGCACAACTATCGAGTGGAGTGTGTATGGTGCTTCAGAGTAATTAGAGTCTTATCAGAAGCATATGTGTTTGTGCAACATATGGTTCTGCGCGGCTTCAACGTCAACAGGCATGCTCTCAATCTGGAACTTTCCACGAACATGTACCATCACAATTCTCACAACTCTCCCGCTAAGATATTTTCTTTCAATTCAAGCAAAATTTCTCTGTGAATTTGTTGTTTTGGAAAAGCCCTTCTAGGTACAGACTATGCAAATGAGCCTTTGTTATAAATGCTGCAGCGGTAAGTTTCTTGGTAACATTTTATAACTTTTAATAGCCCCAATAAAGCACGAACAAAGACTTGACTCATAATGCTCTATAATTTATTAAGAATTACTCAGTCTTGGTAACTACTTAATTACTATCCCAGCCCCATCTCTTAAGCCCAACCCTTGATTTAAGTTGCAATGTGTAACTTTTCTGGGAAAGGTCCATCAAATCCTTTTCTCCATGGAGGTGTTATTACTTTGCCAGGAATGTTTCAGTGTGGATTAAACCTTTCTACTGTCTTCATGGAGACCAAACCAGACCAGATCTGTGGAGAGGCAACCCCACCCCTGTTTTTCTAGGGATATTGAGCTATAAAACCATCTGTATAAATGTAAAGTAGTTTAATGTCATACTGTGGAACATTCCAGGCACAGCAACATATCCGGAGAAAAAAGCAGGTGATGGACGGCAAACCAAAAAGTTACATAGTGTTTACCTGGAGCTGGCCGGGATGTGTCCCCAGTTGAGTCTCCAGGTGATGATGGGGGTGGGGACTCCAGTGGCCTGACAGGTGAAGGTGACCGTGGAGCCTCGCGCCGCCTGCACTGACTCCTCCGGGGGGCTGATCACCGAGGGAGCGGCTGTGAACAAGAGGAGGGGCACATGGACAAATGATTATGTAAATATAATGTAGGTGTTTATTAGTCTGATTAGGGCGATATGGAGCAAAAACTATATCTCGATATATTTTGCTATATTTATATATATGATATATATCTCGATATCTGTACAGAAAAAATAACCCCAGAAAAACTACTGCAAAAACAAACATGCCAAATTCCACAAGGTCTTTTTTTTTTTTTTTATCAAAGTGCAAAGAGGTAGGTTTTTCATGTAGGAACAAAGTGCTTCTACGACATAAAAAAAAAAAAAAAAAAAAAAAAGAATCCCTAATAGACAAAGTAATAATTTAACTGTAAAATAAAGGAAGAAATAACACATATGGCTTTCTTTTCATTACCTCCGCCAAGGAGGTTATGTTTTGCCGGCGTTTGTCTGTTTGTTTGTTTGTTTGTTTGTCTTTTAGCAACATAACTCAAAACGTTATGGACCGATTTTGATGAAATTTTCAGGATTTGTTGGAAATGTGAAAAGGAAGAACTGATTTCATTTTGGGGGTGATCCAGAAGAAATCCTGGATTCTGGATCACTTTGAAATTTTAGTTAACATTGTGGTAAATGGGGCCAAAAATTTTGTTTCTCAATATCTGGGTTAATTATTGACCAAACCCCATGAAATTTGACTCAGGGATGGACAATGGGATCCTCTTTCATATTCCAAAGGCTGATCCGGATCTGATCCAGAAGACTGATTTTATCGCAATCTATATAAAAAATGGGGGTAGTCCTTGGCAGAGGTCTGCGCTCTCTGAGTGCTTTTCTAGTTCAAAAATAAAACAACTCAACTCGGCTCAAGCTCATCTTTGCATTAGCTCTGTTAACCGTACGATAACTAGAACCATGAGCTCCTTTAGTAGGGAGGTTCCTTATTTTATTAGATCCATGTTCCTCACCAGTAGTAAGGAGCTCTGAGGTATCTCATAATCCACTGCAGATTAAACCCAACATTTCCAAACACTAGTGTACAAGTTCTACACAGCATCAGATTATTCATTTAAATCTTTTGCATAAATAAACTTTACATGACTAAATTTCACAGCATATAAACCATAACGACTCTAGAGCCACATCAGCCTGTTTGAGATAATAAAATGTGTTTAATGTAGCTTTGTGCACATTTGTTTATGTTTTACTTTAACGAAACTTAAAACCCCATGGCTCATTTGCATAAACTATAAGCACTGAAAAAAACAGCTTGCTCCTTGTGCCGGGCGAGCACAGAGAAGACAAACAAGCGAATAAGTAATAAGTAAATAAATAAATGTATGTCAAAAGTGCAGAAATATCACTTTGTACTATGCAGTAATAATAGAAAACACACATACACAAACTGTACACACAACTGTATGTAATTATCAACATAAAATCTAATCTTTTGTATGTGGTCTTTTACTAGTTCTGATTTGAATCCAGAAACTTCCAAATCAGTTTTTTTCTTTAAGACTTCAAGCTCAAAGGAGTTTCTAGTTTTAGTATCAATTAGTATCTTGAGGTCAAAATATGTCTGCTGTGGACAGTTGCATCTAATTATCCAACTAAAACCATTTTATTGTCCAATAATGCAAGTGCTCATCAGCATGCTAGTTGTTAGTTTTACAGTAAGGTCTGTGAAAGTTGTGAAAAGTGCTTATAAACTCATTGCAGTGAATAATTAGGATGCTGGGAATGTATGAGGTATAACTTGGGACCACTGCAAACCATTTAAAATGAACTAGTTTTGCTTTCACTTTTGTAAAACAGTAAAAATCAGGTACAGTGCCTTTAATTATTATTATTACAGACAGTATACTCAACATTCAACTTGAAACAGCGTCATTTTCGATAATATGCCTTTTCCATATGTGTGGCACCTCCGCAGTGAAGTGTGATAAACATTACAAAGTGCTGAGGCTCTCGTTAAAAGCGCATTAGGCGGAGCTGGCACGGGTCAGGATTAGCTCATTCAGTGGAGCAGATAAATGGCTAAAAGTCAAAGGGACAAATAATTCACTCAAATGGACGGACAATTCTCCTTCAGTTCTCTGGAATGGATTCCCCCGAACACAAAAAGCCCAGTGTGTCACGTGTGAGAAAAGAACTGCTAAATTAGTCACAGCGACAAAGAAGTGAGAAAGGGTGATTACTGAGGTTAAAGGATACATGTTATTAATGGTGGGTACTGGTCCAAAATACATACTCAAGTAAACTGTTACTTCAAAATAAAATTACTCAAGCAGTAGTATTATATTAAAGTTAAAAAAAGTATTTTTGGAGACTACCACAAGAGTAAGAGTAATGATGATTTGAAGTAAATGTAATTAGAAGGACAAAATATTCAGTTACACACAAAATCTTGGCAATTTCAAATGACAGACCGCAAAAATGAGTCATGTCTGAAAAATATAAGAAATATTAAAATACTGACACTTGAGTGTTTTGTAGAGCTATTCACAGAGGGATGAGCAAAAAAACACTGAAGTAAGAGTACTGTTACACTTAAATATAAATGACTCATGTAGGATTACATGGTTAAAAAAGTTACTCAAGTGAATGTACTTGAGTAAATGTAACCAGTATTGAGCACTACCAACTGCATGACAACCCTGACACAAACATGAACAAAACTTTGGGCATGTTTTGATGAAAATACATTTCAAACTAGGCCTGTCACGATAACACATTTTGAGACATGATACGTGGCTACAGAGAAATAAACAATAATAATGAATCTACTTTAAAGGGCCCATCTCATGCAAAATCTACTTTTCAAAGCTGTCTACCTTCTAAGAGTGATGTGTGGGCCTTGTAGTAGTATATGTGTTGTATACATTTTTTTTAACAAATTGCAGCATATTTCTGTCACCCTCTCTCCTGACAACAAACTAAAGCTGCTACAACGATGACGCGGCAGCTACACTTATGATACGTTTGACGTAGCACAAAGCGCTTCCCTTTCTGTGACTGCCTTCAAGAAATCAGTAAGATTTCATAACTATTGTGTAATGGATGTTCCAAAACCCAAATTGTGCTTGTATATGTGCAGAAGATACAATGTGAAAATTATTTTATTTTGCATGAGATGGGACCTTTAAGCCACTGACAACAGAATGAACCAATAATTAGCCACTGAAGTTACTTTTTCAACCCTCCACAACTCAAATCTGACTTTATTCCAACTAAAATACCCCAAATCAATAAATACTGAGCCCCAGAATGTACTGTTCCAGCATTCATATGTTGAACTATAAGTGGATATAATTATCGTGACAGACCTATCAAAAATGAATGAAGTCAGTTTTTCATAACAAGTTTCATTGCAACACAGCAGGATAAAAAGATAAACGCCGGGGTGACTTACTGCAGCCGTACTCGTCAGATCGGTCGGGGCAGTCGGGCTCCTCGTCGCACTGGTAACTGGCAGGGATACAGGTGCGGTCACTCAGGCATTCAAACTGCTCCGGAGCGCACCTGTCACCGGGACCCTTCGTGGCTACAGAACAGAATATGTAAAGGAGTTTATTTTTTATTAGGGGTGTGACGAGACATACTTTTCACCAGACGAGTTTATACAAGATTAGGTCCAAAATGAGATTTTCACATAATCTATCATTTTAAATGTGTCAACCTGTTGACTAACATTTTTGTATTTAATATTTTTGTTGTAATTGCAGACCTACTAAGGCTGTGCAATTAATCAAATTTTAATTTGTGTGTCAAACGATCTTCAAACTCATATAATTGAGTTGAAATGATTTAAAGCTTAAAAAAAATTTTTGGGGATATTTTTTATAATAATAAGTATATATATACATATATTTATTATAGAGATTGTCGAACAGTTGGATATATAATTCATTTTGGAGACATTTATGTTTTTCTGTCTTATTTCATGTTCAAAGTCTGTCTTATTCATTTTATGTTTTATACATCGCAAAACTGCTCTAAGGTTCATATTTGTAGCCTATATTTATTTTAAATTCGAAAGTTTTGCGTAAATTATCAATAACAAAATGTTGTGAATAAATGCATCCTGTAACAAAAAAATAATCGCTCGAATAATCGTGATATTGCAATATTGACCAAAAATAATCGTGGTAATGATTTTTTTTGATAATCTAGCAACACTAAGACCCACTTTTTGAAACCACAACTTCGTAAAAGATGTAACTTACCAATCCTTTAATCTTTTGTTGTCAATCTAAATGTAAAGTAAATAGAAAAAAATCTCACAAGATAATTTTTCTCATGTCTTGTAGCAAGTTTATCTCACGAGATCTTGCACCATCCCTATCTTTTATCATCTTAAAAATAAAGTAACAAGAACATAACGTGTACTTACGACAGTCGAGTTCATCAGAGTTGTCCTCACAGTCGTTGTCTCCATCACAACGCCACAGTTTGAGAGCACAGCGGCCATTTTTACATTTGAACTCATTGGGCTCACACGGAGAGGGAGTCCCTGCAACATCACACACACACATTTTAACCATTTCTAATCATTTGTGTTTATGACTTCCAGTAATTTGCTATTACTTAGGAGCATTTGTGAAACAGCAGAAGCCAGAGGAAACATACGCAGACACGGTGAAACCTTTTTAGAATGCATTTGTGCGATTTTGTAAAGGAAATGGTCATGTTGGGTCCATTAATGCTTTCTCATAATACAATAATATCAAGTTTTATATTACATTTTCAGTTGTCATTAGAAAATACTAGCTCATAACAGCAATACTGGAGGTTAAAGTTAAGGCACATTTTATTGTCTCTCCAGGGAAATTTGTCCCTCTGTTTCCTCTGCATTTGACCCATCATTTCCCTGCTGGGGCAACCAGTCAGGAGCAGTGGGTGCCGCATTGCCGTGCCCGGGGACCCATCTCCAAATCTTGATCTACCATATTTTTCGGACTCTCGGGCACAATTTTTTTCATGGTTTGGGTGTTTTCTGCGACTTATGTATTAAAATTTTCCCACTAACAGTCGCGAGAGGCTCTAGTCTTGTGTGTCAGTATCTGCTGCTCCTGTTCCTCCTGTACCACTGTCACTTCACTCTACTGCTCATGTCTCCTGCAGAAAGAGCCACTGTCCTGCTGCAAGTAATGAAATCTGCAGCTGAAAATGCTAATCAAACAGCAGAAAGAAAGTTTGGAGTGAGCGAGAAACTTGTGAGGGACTGGCGGAAAGCGGGGATGGAGAACACAGCTTCATGATAACCGGGAGGATGCACCATGCAACTTTCCTGGAAGTCACTGGATGGATGGACAAAGCCTGAACTTCAGTGACACCGAAACCATCCTGTCGAGATTCAGAAAGGCCGGAATAATTCTAACTGGAACTGATGCTGAGTCTGACGACAGCTACGCAGGAGATGAAATGTCGGTTCCTGGTCTCTGATTTAAAAATACATTTCCCCCAAAAAGTGCGATTTATAGTCCAGGTGCAACGTATATATGTTTTTTTTTTTTTTCATTACACATTTTTTGGCTGGTGCGACTCATACTTAGGAACAACTTATAGTCTGAAAAATATGGTATAATGATAAAAATATATATTGCACTTCAACTTTTTTTGTTTCGCTACTTAGCCATGTCGTCATTTTGTATTCGAAATAAACATACTCTGAACTACTACATAACTACTACTCTTAGCTACACGGAAGAGGAAGCGACGTCCTGTTTAGCTCCGGAGGTCGTGCAGTTGTTCAGAAGTGACACTGAGGATGAAGAATTGAATGGATTTATTGATTTGGAGTGAGATGGAGAGTTTAGTAAACTTGTTCTGTTCTGTTTATGCTATAATTATCTGAAGAACTGTTCATATGTGACGTTAACAGTCTGTTGTTCTCTGTTCTATTGTTATTACTAGAACTTGACTTTCAAGATGAAATGTCGGTTCCTGGTCTCTCATTTTATAAAATAAATTTCCCCCAAAAAGTGTGACTTATATATGTTTTTTTTTTCTTCATTATGCATTTTGTGGCTGGTGCGACTCCAGAGCAAATTATAGTCCAAAAAATACGGTAGTCTTTGTCAGGACTACCTTCGCTGGAGGATTTTACTTTTGATTGTTTCTTTTTTTTTTTTTGTCTAAATTATTGTCTGAAATTGTTTTTGGGTTTAATCCCAACCCAGAATGCCCAAAAGTAACATTCATGTATACCTATCACAGAGATCACTGTCTTCAAGGACAAACAACTGAATACATACGGGAAAAATACTCCCTTAAACTTACTTATTATTTCACAGAGTAGAAGAAAGTACAGGGCAAACAAAACTGGTCCTAGCACTGACCCTTGGGGAACTTCACAGGACCCAATTATGACACACAATGACCTGACAAAACAGAAGAGGATCTCCCTGACAAATATAAAGAGAACCAATCCAGCCCACCCAGACACCGGAGTCAAACCCAGAACCTTCTTGCTGTGAGGTGAAAGTCTTAGCCACTCAGCCACCATACTAGACCTCCTCACTTCTTTGGTTTCCTTTTACAGTGTGACTCACCGCATCTGAACTCGTCGGAGCCGTCGGAGCAGTCCCTCTGGCCGTCGCAGATGTAGTCCCGGGGGATGCACTCTCCGCTCTGGCACGTGGCCTGGTCCGCTCTGCACGGCCGTGGGTACGTGGTCTTGCGGGCGGGGGTGGTCGTCGTGATAGGACCAGGAGTCACGGGGATCACGGGAGGCTCGGTTTCTACAGAAATAAGCATATGTTTAATTTAGTTCAACTTTTTTTATCTGAGCATCTGCAAAACATAGCTCAAGAGGACAAGTAGAAACAAAGCTGTGCATCTACTCCCGTCCTAATTAACATTTATATTGAAAACTGTAAAACATTCCACACATGCATTATAGAAAACATAAAAAATGTATTTCATAATGCACAATTTCTGTATTATTGTTAACTTTTAAGCCTATACATTTTTAATAATCTGTGTGATTTGACCTCTTTAAATCAACTAAAATAACTACAAATGGACAGTGTTGGGATAACGTGTTATAAAAGTAACAAATTGCAGTAATGCGTTGCTTTTTGCTGTAATGCTGTAATGTACGACATTACAGGGAAAAAAAAAATATATATTTTACTCAGTACAAATGTGAGTAACACACGTCACAATGCTAAGTGAAGTGGTTGGTTTTTCGTTTTTCTTCATACTAATTCGCTAAAATCACCGCAATATCAGCAGTGGTGAAACGCCGGAGGTGCACCCGGGTAGATTGTCGGGTGACCGTGGGCGAAAGGACCGACGCTGAACTCCACGCTCCAGGGGGCTAAATGCAACTGACACCCGATCACACTTTGAGGACACCCTGCTCCACTGGAAGTTGAAGATTAGTCCTGGTTTGTTCCTGGTTAGTCCTGGTTTAGACCTGGTTTAGACCTGGTTTAGACCTGGTTTAGTCCTGGTTTAGACCTGGTGTAATTCTAGTTTAGTAATAGTTTAGAGCTGGTTTAGACCTGGTTCAGTTCTGGTTTAGACCTGGTTCAGTCCTGGTTCAGATCTGGTTTAGTCCTCGTTTAATTCTGGTTTAGACCTGGTTTAGACCTCATTTAGTCCTGATTTAGTCCTGGTTCAATCCTCCTGGTTCAGTCCTCCTGGTTCAGTCCTGGTTTAGACATGGTTTAGTCCTGGTTCAGCTCTGGTTTAGACCTAGTTTAGTCCTAGTTTAATCCTGGTTTAGACCTGGTTTAGACCTCATTTAGTCCTGGTTCAATCCTCCTGGTTCAGTCCTGGTTTAGACATGGTTTAGTCCTGGTTCAGCTCTGGTTTAGACCTAGTTTAGTCCTAGTTTAATCCTGGTTTAGACCTGGTTTAGTCCTAGTTTAATCCTGGTTTAGACCTGGTTTGGACCTGGTTTAGACCTGGTTTAGTCCTGATTTAGTCCTGGTTCAGTCCTCGGTTCAGTCCTGGTTCAGTCCATATACGGCGCAAAAGTTCGGCATCGTTCACACAGTTATTTTGGTGAGAGTAACTTAAAAGTAATGTAATAGTCGTGTATTGTCTTACATTTTAAAAGCAGTAATGTAACGAAATTACTTTGAAACGACAGTAACAAGTCACAAATAACACGTTACAGTTTTACAGCCCAACAGCGCAAATGGAGCGGGACAACATGGCTTAAGTGTCTAGCCCATAAATACAATGACAATATATTATTAACCAACTGCACCACTATGGCCTCAGTTTACTCCTGTTTTATGATTAACTAGTGTAAAATCAGCGTAAAGGCATTGAACATATGCTTTGGTTCAGACTTTGTAAGAATTTGTGTTAAACAGCAGTGATTAGAAGTCCGCCTTGTTTATGTTCATGAATAAAAGATCGAAAGTCATATAGATTTGATTTAAATGAACGCGACCACGGCAGCTGCCCTCACCGCAGTTGAGCTCGTCACTCATGTCTCTGCAGTCTGGTCTGTTGTCGCACAGATATTCCATGAGGATGCAGGTTCCATCACTACACCGGTGCTCGTCTGGCATGCACGGTCTGATACTGGGGATCACTGTAAGAAAAGGGGGAAAAAAAGAGTCAAAAGACGAGACAATACTGCAGATAAGATAGGAGCATTACCGCACGGCAAGCTACCAATCACAGCAAACTAGAATGATACAGTAAGATGGAAAAATTTTCAACGTTATGCAGTTTTTCATAGGAATTGAAAAGGAGGAGGAACTGGGGGTTTAGTGTGGGGTTTCTTTTCAGCATATGTGATTTTCTGTTCAGAGTTTATTTATAAATGTTGGTCAACTCATCAAATTCCTAAACCTTTTTTCTTTGAAATGGATTGAAATACCTCCCTTTTGAATCCTATGGTTAAAAATGAGGATCGGGGTAATTTTGCAATGGTTATTAGCGCGGACTTGCTTTAAAGGCGAACTACAGAACTTTTCTAAAGGAGGGTGATCACCTGCGTGTCTCCATGGAGATGCTACTGCTTTGTCTGGAATGTTCCACAGTATGGCATTAAGCATATTCATCTAGCATTTATTCAACATACATTCTTACTGTGAGTGGACAAACCTTTCCACAGATATGACTTGTAACTTGGCCTGGTGGTAGGGCTGAATGATTTAAGAAAAAAAATTAATTGAGATTTTTCTGGCAGATATTGCAATTTTGATTTCATCCACAATTTTTTTTCAAATCAAGTTTCAGTGCACAGGAACATTTGCAAACATCACAGAAACTGACATCACACTAGAGTCCTGCAACAATTTGACGCTGGACCATAAAGCCCAATTTAAGCAGGTTATAAGGGCTGTGATTGGTCCTCTCTACCACCGTTCTACAGACATTTCCTGTACTCCACTTTCCTTTCTTTCAGTATACATTGAGTAATAATGTGTTTAATGCAGCTTTGCGCATTTGTTTACATTTTACTGAAACTAAACTTAAAATCACATGGCTCATTTGCATAAACTATAGGCACTGAAAAAATAGCTCGCTCCGTGTGCCCTGATGTGGTTCAGCTTCTGTCAGACTAAAGGACACGACTCAGTGGAATATGAGTGTTCTCTCTGTGACAGAGGATGTGCTGCTGATGGTGAGTCTGTTCTGTGCTTCTACTGTGTTTATGGTTTATGTTAATAACTTTACACTAACAGCAGGTTTAAATCTTTGCCTCCTAGTGTTGTGGTGGTGAATTACTTTGCAGCACATAGACCTCGACGCAGTTCCATAAATCAAAAATGACAGCAACAAGGAGAGGGCATCAATGTGCGTTAAGTCGACGCAGAACTAAACTTCACCCTTTAATTGGGCTTTAGGAGCACTGCAAAAAAACGTGACTTTGACGCTCCCAAAATCGGGTTGTCTGAGGTTGCAATTTTTGGTCCAAAACAATAGATAGTTCAGCCCTTCCTGTGTCACTGGCTTGTTTACATGGAGATAGAGGTTTTAATGCCATACTGTGGAACATTCTACGCAAACTACTAACATCGCCAAGGAGACATGCAGGTGATGGACCCTGTATCAAAAAAGTTCCATAAAAAAACAAACAATATCTCTAAATGACAAGTAGAATATAGTCAAATAAAAATTACTTCTACTGATCACCATATTGCTCAGGTTATCATTATGCTCAACACTCCAACAACAAATCATGCGTTACATCAAAACATCAATCATCAATGAAATCAACAACAAACATACAACAATTTAAAAAAATCATATTTAAAATCAATTTTATTCTCTCTAATGCTACAGCACAGTCACCGCCATGCAGCAGACCTGGTCCAGCACAGACCTGGGATAGGGATAGGCTCCACTGCAGGACAGTACAGGACAAAGACACAAAGGACAAAGACACATTAAGACACTTCCTAAACCTCAAGAGAAGAATGTGTTAACAGACCTGTCACTCTAATCACTCAGTCAACTTATATCCTAGTCACTCAGTTAAAATAATAGTTTTTCATCCAACTGAGATTATATTTTATCTTGTACATTTTTATTACGCTGCACTATTTAATATCTAATTTTATTCCAAGTATAGTGATTCTTTACTGTATATTTAAATGTCTAGTTTTATTAACAATTTATCGTTTTTTATCAACTAGAACTGCTAACATGGCAGCCCTAGAAGCAGTGTTGGGAAGGTGACTTTTAAAATGTATTCCCCTACAGATTACAGATTACATACTCCAAAATGTAGTTTGTAACGGAATCCATTAAATTACTTAAAGTGAGTAATGTAATCTGAATACTTTGGATTACTTGATTTGCTGTAGAGAAGCAAAGACGAGGAAATCTTCACATAGGATGTTTTGTCTGATAAAAGAAAATAAAAAGCACAGACTTTACTTAAACAAATTAAAACTATTATTGATAGAAGAAGAGGAGACACGGTCCACACAGTGTGGTTTAGTCCTGTTAAATCCTGTTTAAATCCTGTTTTAGTCCTGTTTTAGACCTGGTTGTAGTCCTGGTTTAGTCCTAGTTTAGTCCTGGTCTGGACCTGCTTTTAGACCTGTTTTAGACCTGGTTTAGATCTAGTTTAGACCTGGTTTTAGTCCTGGTTTAGTCCTGGTTTTAGACCTGGTTTTAGTCCTGGTTTAGTCCTGGTTTTAGACCTCGTTTAGACCTGTTTTAGACCTGGATTAGATCTAGTTTAGACCTTGTTTTAGTCCTGGTTTAGTCCTAGTTTAGACTTGGTTTTAGACCTGTTTTAGACCTGGTTTAGATCTAGATTAGATCTAGTTTAGACCTGGTTTTAGTCCTGGTTTAGTTGTGGTTAGACCTGGTTTAGTTTCGGCAATGAGTGGAATTACAGGAAAAAAAAGAAAGAAAAAAAAAGGGGGATATAGCTCAAAATGTGAAAACAGGAAAACAGGAAAATACCGCCATGTAATCGATTTATTTCAACAAAGTAACTGTAATCTAATTACCACTCACTGAAACAGTAACTGTAACTGAATACAGTTACTCATAATTTGTACTCTGATTACGTAACTCCAGTACATGTAATCTGTTCCTCCCCAACACTGCCTAGAAGGTGGTTGAGATCTTGTGGCACGAGATCTTGTACCATCCCTACTAATTATAGGCTCTGATATGCTATTTTTTATTGTGGAAAAAAGGTATAGCCTTCACGATATGGATACATGCTACGTTTTTAGAAGAGATTATTGTATCAGTTAAACAAAACGGCCAACGAAATCATAATTTATTGTAATAATTTCTATAGCAGCAATATAAATATACATCTTGATTGGCCTATCTGTTAATAATATGATGTTTATATAAAATCTAGCTATGGAGAGAAAACTGTAAAATGTTTAATACATAATAATAATGTAAGTAACAAGAGGCTCAAATAAAGAAAAAGCAAAAATGGTCGTCTTGTTACCTTCCCCGAGGCGTCTGAACTGAAAGCCCTGTACGGAGGTGACGTAGGACGCGATGGCGCCCTCTTTCACCACGTTGTACAGAACGCTGCGGATCTGCTCATCGTTATTATTGTAGTCGGATCCTACGTCCAGCTCCACAAATATGTCCACGCCGTTGTCTCGGACCATTTTCCTGTAAGTAAACAAAATACAGTGAGAATGGAGGTCAAACAAGCAGGTTAGAGGTACAAAGAAATATTTCAATTAAACGGATGGATAGGCTTAATGACACGGGGAGATGCAAGAAATATTATGAATTTACTGGTAATAAAATAATCAGAATCCTTTTGACTTTTCATAACACATAGATCTTGACCTTGCGTTCCCAGAAAAAAATATCTACTCAGTAAAATGTATTTCTGTAAATTTCTATTCTCACGTTTAACTAATTTAACCCATTTACAGTACAGTATTTTCTGAATTTGGCTCATTATCTGCATGACTGATTCCATGGAAATTGAAAGTTAAAACCATTACTTTGTGTTGTATTAGAGCCAAAGTAACATCATTTCCAGAGAAGCAAGAAGGGAGAGGCCAAATAAGATTTATGCTTTTATTTTAGTCAACTTTTTTTGGTTCAAAAAGTCACCAACTGTGGGTTTAGAAAATTCATTTTAGCATATATTTATATTTTTTTTTCTTTTTTTTTAATTTAGTTTTTATTTCACAAATTGAAAAATACAATCTTACAGGATTTTTGTTCGGTAATAATATCCTCGTACCCGTACCATAAGTATATGCATATTCTCACATATAAATAGATACATATACATACACACACATATATTCATACATATATACATACATATATCTATATACCTACATACCCACATTTACAGACATACACTCGGGTACATTCAACTACATTTGACATTTACCTACATTTTTTTTTTTTATATATATAATTAAATAAACCAGAAATAACATTGTAGCATGGAACCAGGGTGTGCTTTAAGACGTTATTTTATACATTACTCTACATCGCACCAAAGACATATTTCAAAACAGACTGCTAATTTTCAGACTCTATACAAAGTCAGACCATGTTTGTCTAATATAATTTAACCATCCCCTCCATAAATTTTCAAATTTGTCTTTCTCCAACCTAACTGATGCCGTCACTTTCTCCATATTGTATATATTGAGCATTACATCCACCCACTCTTCTACCTTAGGTATTTGATCCGTCCGCCATTTTTTGGTGATTGCCTTTTTGCTAGCCAACAGCATAATTTTCAGTATATTATAATCAGTCCTTCTAGTTAAGTTCAGTATATAAATTTTACCCAGATAAAAAACTTCAAAATTTAGGGGAACACTACAATTCACTACTTTATCAATAATAATTTTAACTCCTGTCCAATATGACTTCAATAGTGGGCATCCCCAAAAAATGTGAAAGTGATCTGCCTTGGAAGTACCACAAGATCTCCAACATATTTTTTTTTTTTTCTTAAAGGTGCATTGTGTAAATTTTCTGGTATCCCGGTTATTAGTCATATCCCGGTTATGTCAGTATTGAGGATACTGCGTCGACATGTGCGCTGAGAAACCGGGACACTCATATCCCAGTGTCATGATTAAATGGCGTATCCCGCTTTCTTGACATAATCTTACAAATGCATAAGCACCAAATTTAACTTTATTTAATTTAATAAACCAGGTTTATTCTAATCAGCGCTAAGGAGCTATGAGATATCCCACAATCCACTGAGCAGATCAAACCGAACAGCAGCAGATTTTTTATTAAAATCTTCTGCATAAATAAACTCAACTTTACAACATATAAAGCATAACTGTATCAGCCCGTTTGATAATATAATTCATCTTAGCGCACATTTGTTTATGTTTTACAGAAACCAAACTTAAAACCGCATGGCTCATTTGCATAAACTGTCAGCGCTGATAAATACAGCTCGCTCCTTGTGCGCTGATGTGGTTCAGCTTCTGTCGGACTAAAGGACATGACTCAGTGGAATATATGTGTTTTTCCTGTGACAGAGGAGGTGCTGATGATGGTGAGTCTGTTCTGTGTGTATATCATATAGGAGATATTTCATGTTTAACTTTTCAGCGATCAAATGTGTGCAGGTCAGACGAGTGCAGTACAGTCTGCATGTTTAACACAGTCATTTCACTCATGTACGGTCACTTTATTTATGTTGGTCACTTTATTCATGTTGGTCACTTTATTCATGTTGGTCACTTTATTTATGTTGGTCACTTTATTTATGCTGGTCACTTTATTCATGTTGGTCACTTTATTCATGTTGGTCACTTTATTTATGTTGGTCACTTTATTTATGTTGGTCACTTTATTTATGCTTGGTCACTTTATTTATGCTGGTCACTTTATTTATGTTGGTCACTTTATTTATGTTGGTCACTTTATTTATGCTGGTCACTTTATTTATGTTGGTCACTTTATTTATGTTGGTCACTTTATTTATGTTGGCTCCTGTGATGAAAAGACTGGAAAGTGTTTGTCTTTTGGACGCATGTGCACTCAACTTTATGTTGCGGTATACTGCGTATACATGCCACAGGATCCCGGTTACTATCGGAATATACCAGCTACAGTATCCCAGTTTCTAATAACCGGGATACTGCTTTATTTGGGATACTGAAACCGGGATACTGCGTATACATGCACCATGAAGAAACCAGGATACTCAACCCGATCATAACCGGGACACTGATGTGCACGTATACACACTCAATGACATATCCAGAGAAACGAGCAGGTGAGGGACCCCCAGCCAAGAAGTTACATAGTGCACCAAAGTTAATGTCTATTCAATACCTGGGCTTCAGTCATGGCCTTTAGAACGTGCAGCGGTTTGAACGTGGTTGGATCTAGTTTGGTCCTGATTTGATCTTGGTTTGGTTCTAGTCCTGGAGTCATCGTGGTCGAGTCCAGGTTTAGTTCTGGGTTTAGTTCTAGTTTTGAGACATCCCACTTACTTGATGAGGACCACGCTGACCGTCTGGATACCTGGGATCCTGTTGTAGTCCGACTCGAGCTGAAGAAGAGAGCCAGATTTGGTTAAAATGAGCCTCAGCAAATCCAGGTTTTATTTTAAGAACTTGAGGTCACACCGACTTAAATATAGCCAGACACAAATCAAAAGCCCAAACCTTATAAGGCAGCTTAATCTCCCTGTACTTTACTTGACCACAATTCTGGAGCTGTTTCTCTTCACAGTAGGGAAAAAAAATACAAGTGTGACATTTTTCTGATAAATGTTGTGAATTTGATCAGATTTAAATTTATTAAAGTGTAGTTAAAGCACCCTGGAATAAAAACACCTGGATTTCAGACAGGATTGGTAAATCAGTACACAAGACTGCAAGAAAAAAAAAGATCAAATTGTGTTTTTTCTGACAAGCATTGTGAGATTTCTGATATATGTTTTAATAATAGGATTCTTCAAAGTCATAACACGCCCAGAAGAATTGACAAAAAGACTGAAATGAACTGACGCACTAATATCAGAATCACATTTCAGAACAGGTTTCTACAGATCTTAACTACAGGGTGAGCATTTTAATACAGAACAAGACCAGATATTTTGTCGTGGAAGAAAATTATGGTTCCTCAAAAAATTGCAGCCTGTGGGATTTGCTGGTACAGTTACTCTTTCATTTCATGTTCTTAAAATCAGAGGGTATATCACAGTACTTTGATTGGACCATGGACCTTACAAAATACCTTCTACGGCTGGTATTCGGAATTCTTCAAAACACCGCTGAATTTCTCACTTTTTTGAACTATGTTTCAAATTCAAAATAAATTCACCTTTTAAATATTCAGTACAGATATTTTCAAGCCGTCAAATTCAACAGTCAAAATCCAGAGTGTAAAATTTGCAGAGAAAAATTTTACGACAAAGATCCAAGATGCCAAGACAGAAGCAATCGAGGACAGAGGCTGTTTCCTATTGGTCGTTCTCATCTGTGGGCAGGGCTTATGCTTAACAAATCAAAGAGATGAGGTTTTGATGAGGTTAATTCTGATGAGATTAGATCGCTTCACTGCACCATTTCCTGTTTGTTACTAAATTATATCAGATAACTTTATATCGATTGCTTTTGTCTTGGCAACTTGGATCTTTGCTGTGAGTTTTTTTCACTGCGATTTGACCCTGTGTTCGATTATCCTTCCGAGTCATTTTTCCGAGGAAGTTGCCTAGCGATACGCAAGACACGCCCCTTTTCCTGGGATGGCGTCACTCGGAACTCGGTGGCAGAAAAAGTAAACTGACCACTGTGACGTGTATATATGTTTTGTGTTTTCATTGTGTGTGGACACTTTGATGGTTTAAATGACAATTTCATTCATTTTCAGTCACTCGTATTACTGTAGTACTTTACTGCGTCCGTATCACTGTCTGTGGGTAGTCAGTGTTGTGGTGAAGCTACATGCTCCTCTCCAAATCCGACACGCAAAACATAATAATCGCGCTTCAAGTTTGGACATGACGTCAAATCCGAGGTCCAAGTGGGAGTCGGAAGATAATCGAACACAGAGTTACACTCTGAATTTTGACTGTTGAATTTGAGGGCTTGAAAATGTTTGTGCTGCATATTTAAAAGGTGTTTTTTTATTGAATTTTCAACACTTTGAATTATATTTATTCTGAAAGGCAGTTGATGAAATTTTAAACATATATTTTCAAACATGTTTATTCAGAGTTAAAAAGTTCAAACTGACAAATTCAGTTGCATTTAAAATTCAAAATCTGGTGAATCAAATTATCTCCCATAAGTTTCCAGTTTGTTACTAAATTAGATTGGATCACTCTTGATCGATTGCTTAGGCCTTGGCATATTGGATATTTCCTGAATTTTTCCCCCCACTTTTATACAATTTTACACTCTGCTGAATTTGAGGTCTTGAAAATATTTGTGCTGATTTTTTTATTTTATTTTTCATATAACATTTTAAACACTTTGAAAATGTACACATATAATTTTATTAATTGAAATTCAGAATAAAAATAATTGTTAAATTAAAAGCTAAAAAATTCAAAGTGAGAAATTCTGTGACATTTAAAATTCAAAATGACTAAACTAATTATCTTCCATAGAATTCTATTACTAAATACACAAAATACAAGCATTTCACGAATACACAGAGAGGATAATTTGTTCTTTTGTTGTTGTATTACCTAATTACAGTGGTTGTTTATACTAATTGCTGTTATTTGCTGTGCATTGATTGGACGACTACCAAGTTACGAGTTGGATTGTAAAGTCTTCTATTAGGTGACAATTACAAATGGTACTGGGTATACAAATCTAATTAAAATTGAATTAAAGGTGCAGTGAGAAACTTTTCTGATGACAAGTACATATCCAAGGAGAGGTTACACTGAATGGCAGTAATTGCATTTAGCATTTATTTCAAATGTATTTATGACCCAAAAATACCTTGAAAAAACATGTATTCTTACAAGGACGGGTCACCTCTCCACAGATCTGACCTGTGACTTAGCTCTACACAGTCTTTACCTTTTCACCTTTAAATGCCGGCTCACTGCATAAACATACCGTATCGACCACTGCCTCAGAAACCTCCTTGAAGGCGTCAGAGAAGATGTCTTCAAAGTCTGGGGTCCACACCAGAGAGTCCGTGAAGTTAACGAGAGCCCGGTAATAAACTGTAAACAAGAGAGAGAACGATTATGTTAACACGACCACACAATAAAACCTCAGCCGCAAAACGACGCTGCTATGTCCATTACACCGTTCCTACTTCATTGGATTACGCAGAATGTATTAAAACAATATACCATATGGTCGGGGAATATTTAATGTTGTATGAAAAGGAAAAGTTAAACAGTGTGGATTTGTGGTTGTAACAGATGCCAACTTCTGCTAAAGTTACCACACATTGAACTTTAAGGAAAGAAGTGGTGAAAACAGTGTGTGCATAAGCTTAGAATATTTTATATACTGACACCCACGACAATAATTCTGGTGAAAAGCAATATTATTGGTGTGTATTTAGGTATTTCTGGATAAAAAATGTATATTGCAATTATATTTGCAATATGATTCTGTTCAGACAATGCAAACAACTCCAGGAGCATTGATATTTAACAGAAGACTATGACCTGATAAACTTACACAAGAATCCCAGACATTTCAGAACATGTGGAGGTTTGAACTGAAGGTACAAGATTTTTCTATTGACACTTTGAGGTGGGGGTGTTCTACATGTATTTGTATGGTGGAATGCTCAGCTGTTATCACGGAGACGTAATTCACACTTTAGTAAACACTGTCAAAAAAGGAGCCTGTCAAAATGAGTATTTATAGTCCTGTTAAGGTGTTCGACTGTGACTAATGTGACAAATGAAAATGACTAATTGAAAAACTGTTGGCTGATGTTATCTTGTGACTGTAATTTTATGTGTAAGTGAATTGTTAAACAGCACAAAACACCTCCCCTGTTGTAGTCCCAACTACTCTATTTTTCCAACTATAACATAAAATCCTTTAATTTTCTCAAAAATCGACATGTATCGTTATGTATTAATTGTGGTTGTTCTTACTGACCTTGAACCAATTTTATGTGGTACACGGCACTCAAAAATCTGTCAAAATGTTTTAGTATGATTTTGGTAAACTACGAAGCTGCACTGCATGATGGATTGTCAAAGCATTACAGCTACTGTAGTCAGGAGCCTCACGGAGTAAAGGGCGAAATATAGTTCTGTGTTGACTCAACACACACTGCCGCTGTTGCCTTGTTGCAAAAAGAACACACATATTTCACTGAGTCTGTCTTTTAGTCTGACAGAAGCTGAACTGCATCAGCGCACAAGGAGCGAGCAGTTTTTTTCAGTGCTTACAGTTTATGCAAATGAGCCATGTGGTTTTAAGTTTTGTTTCTGTACAACGTAAACAAATGTGCACAAAGCTGCATTAAACACATTATTACTCATTGTATTTTTGAGTCCTAATCGTAGGAAATAAAAAAACAAACTTAAATGATCCACTCACATTCACATTCATAATAAACATTCACCAAGACAGGGAGGCAACGCCGGACGAATTATGACACGATCTGCCGATGGATAGTGGACGCCTGGGCTAAAGATCAGTCTCAAGTGTCGTCCGTTTGTTTCGCTTAATGTGCCTTATAATCTGGTGTGCCTTATGTATGAAAATAGACGAGGGAATTCAACATTACTAATATTGTGCCTTATAATCCGGTGCACCTTATACTCCAAAAAATATGGTAAATCAGCTCTTCGTGGTCATGTTACAATGAAGCTCAGATTAAAGTCGAATATAAGTAACAGAGCTTCAGACAAAGAAATGCCTACAGTTAGCATCACACCCCAGTATATGTTGATGATGTCAGCTGCAAAGTATCATATAATTGTGTCAACTCAAATTGCGATTTTAATTGGATATTATGCACTATGTTTTGAAGAAATCACAAGTTTGATCAAAATCTGGTCATGGATTTTTGAATAATCTTCAAATCCGAGTCAAGAAACATCCAAGAAATCGTGTAAAGGTGACTGTGGAAGGGGCCCCCAGACTTCCCTTAGGTTTACCCGGACAAACGCTCTGAGCTCTGGGCAGGAGGAACACAGGAGGAGCAGGAGGATTATATCAATGGTGTTATGTTCTCGAGCGTGGCAGTTCATCTCACATGTAGGTCAGACTGGCTCAACACAAGACGTTTCCTTGTACAACATCAGGCAAATAGAGCGGACGAGAGGGGGAACAGGGAAGCACTGATGTCATGGGAAATGTGTAGAGGAAAGGCTGAATGACGAGGATTCAAGCATAACATATAGCACTGTGTTCTCAGTTTAATCTGCCTTTTTACGTATAAACAGAGAAAATGCCAAATTCTTCAGCTAACTCACTCACTCACTAAGGCCCCGTCCACACGAGTATGTATTCGAGTCATTTTCATTGCGTTCACATGTGTTCGTCCACACTAATCCGATTGAAAACAGCTTCAGAGACGGAACGATCTGGTGCCGCCAGCTCCCACAAATTAGTCTACGTTCAGACAGCAGGGCTTAATGCTCAATTCCGTTTTTTTTTTTTGGTGAAATCCGATGTTTTTGCGAGGTCGCTCACATTTCCAATTAAATGCGACTTGTATGTGATCTCCATTGTGAACGGTACACGGCCCGAAAGTGTCCCGCATGCACACTGGAGGACACTATGATGTCAACCACAGCGAGCGTGCTCTGTGTTTTTCGGAAGTTGTCCAAACATGGATGCGAGCATTGAGCACCTGGAGATTTTAAAGTTCCTCTCGTACCAGAGCCAGAACATGAACAACTTATTTGTTTTAAAGAGGAGAAGGAGAAGGACAAGGTTTTTGGCCGTGGCGTTTTGTGGCTGCAACGTCCATTGAAAGGAACATGTGGATGTGGAGACGTAGCCAAGAGTGGTGAGTGCTGATGTGCTTCGCTTCAGTGACATGGAGTTCATTAACATTTTCACCTACTTCAGTGCAGAATAGTGACATTTGTGGCTTGTTGATAAAGTGTAGGTCGGATTCATGTGCTTTGACCGTTCAGACTGAAGTCGCATGTCAAAAGATCAGATATGTATCGGTTTCAGGACCACATACCCAAGTGTCCTGGGTCGCATTTGAAAAAATCAGATCTGTGTCGTTCAGACTGTCATTAAAAGATCAGATACAGGTCACATAGGGGTCAAAAAATAAGATTTGGGTCACTTCAGGCTGCAGTCTGAACGCAGCCTTAGTCTGAGTACAGATCTGATCCGGCACTGTTATGCTGATGTAGTTCCATGCGCCGCAAAGTAATTCATCGCCAAAACACTAAGAAGCTAGAATCTATGTCCATTCAAATAAACAGTCTGTGTGTATGACCTGCAGACGTATAATCTCTGAAAAGTTTAACATGAACCATCTCCAACGCGATAGAAGCACAGAACAGACTCACCATCAGCAGAACACCCCTCTGTCACAGAAAGAACACTCAAATTCCACTGAGTCGTGTCCTTTAGTCTGACAGAAGCTGAACCGCATCAGTAGCACAATAGCGAGCTGTTTTTTGAGCGCTCAGTTTATGCAAATGAGCCATGTGGTTTTTAAGTTTTGTTTCTGTAAAACGTAAACAAATATGCTTAAAGCTGTGTGGATAGGGAAAGACTGCGGACACAGAAACGACGTGTCTGGATGCAGATCATTTCCAAAATGGTGATACAGTGATTAATTTCAGTGTAAACGTAGTGTAACTTTTCCTTTGTGATGTTGTCCCATAGAAATCCTTATGATCTAAATAAAAGTGACTAAAACTGATTAACGGACTAAATGACTACAGCTCTACTAATAGTGAAATTATTCAAATTTTTTATGTAAGAATAAAACAAAACAATCACGAATTTACCATATTTTCCGCACTATAGGGCGCACTTGGATTATAAGGCACACTGTCTGTGAATGGTCTATTTTCAAACTTTTATCACAAATAAACCACATCGGACTTTAAAGGAAACACAACAGTTGGATGGGTCTATGGGACTTTGTTTGTGGCGTTCACGGTGACTCTGGGCTTTGTTCAGTTGTGGCGTGTAGGGAGGGTGCTGTCTGGGACCAACGGATTGTCGGCGTGTTCGCAGTGACTCAGTTGTTCAGTTACGTCTAGAGGTGGCACATTGCACTCGCTTTTTCGGTTCGTTCCTCCGTTGCGTTCCTCGTCGGTGTGGAATGATGAGTGTGGCTGCGGGTGTGTTTCACTGTGCGGTCGCTGTCTTCTCCGTGTGTGTTTGCGTGCGCTGTGGGTGGTGTGGCTTTGTAGTTTACTGAAGTTGTGCCGGGACACCTGAGTGGATTCGTGTATAGAGCGCTCTGGATTGTGGGGCGCGCAGTCATTTTTTGATGGGGTTGGAGGCTTAAGAGTGCATCTAATAGCCCGGAAACTACGGTACATGAAAACTCACACATTCATAAACCAGTTCATGCAAAGTTTGTGAAGTGTCATGCAAAATGAAACAACAGCAGTAGTATTACCCTCTGAAGGGACTGAACCACCAACCTCAGCTGTTTTGACATAAACCGCTGCCTTTCTGAAACCAAGTTATGAAATCATGATCACACTAAAATATATGAAAAAAACACGAAAATATTGTGTAGATAGAGAATTTCTAACCATGTTAAAGGTGCATAGCGCAACTTTTTTGGTGGAGGGTCCATCACCTGTTTGTCTCCACGGAGATGTTATTACTTTGTCCAGAATATTCCATGGTATGACATTAAACACATCTATCTAAAATTTGTTCATTATGGCTGTTTCTATTGCTCATAAACACAGTGATTCTCTCTGTCAGTGTAGGTGCCTCTCCACAGAACTGACCTGTAATGTAGCCTATAGTTGTTTGCCTTAAGACAAAAAGGTTTAATCTCTGTGGAAAATTCTAGACACAGCAATATCATCTCCATGGAGACCAGCAGATAGAGTTACATTTTGCACTTTTAATGATTTCATAGTCTATAAAAAATGTAACATTTTAATGTCCAAGTTCACATTTTCAAAATCAGTTATTTACAAAATTCTAACTGAACCGCAGAGATATTGCAGCTGGACACAAAACAACATTTTTTCAAGTTCAATCCATTGGTAAAATAAATATCAAAATATAAACTGTATTTTTG